CCAAAGACTCTGTCCAGAAGAAATCCACCAAAGAAACATAACACTACATTTGGGTATGAATAGAGCGAGTATAACAACACATATTTTTGTGTGGGAACATTCATGTCCTGCAAGCAAAAAGGAAATCACAATCCACTGTATTGTACATTATAAAATGTTCAGAGAAATGTGCACACTGTGATTGGTCAGAACGAGTTCGTTATAATTCCATAAAGCACATGCCTTATGTCACACAAGTGTACTGTTGAGATATAATGCATGCAGCCTACGTCATCAGTATGAGTGTGTGCAATTCACAATACATTTAATAAATGAAATAAAAAAACTTGTTCCTTGAGCATTGTCGACTTATATAAGCACTTAGGAATTTTTAAGAACACTTGGCTCATGCTTCTCTGCACTTCTCTCATGTTCCCCAAAATCAAAGTAAGTGGTATTTTTGAGTGAAATTCTGAACATTAAGTGGTCAATTATCGCATAAAGTGGTGTTGTGTTGTTTATTGTTTTTTGTATTATCCCTAATCTTTGGAACCTGAAGTTAAGCAATCATCTCACCATACCCTGTGGGTGACCCCCTAATTCAGGACTAACTGTGCAAATTTTGTTGCACCATACAAAATTTTTTGTATACTTTGGAAGTTTTGATTGTTTTTGAGACTGTATTTTCCAGTATCCTAATAAAGTTTGTTTACTTCTTGACATAAGAAAATTGTTCCAAGAAGTAGACTGCAGGGTTTATTCAGCGTGGTATATAGCTAAATTATCTCTCAGCCACATCTGAACTTGATGACCAAAATGCTTACAGCCAGCAAAACCGGGCAAAGTAAACTGATGTTGACTCTTCTGAGAGAACCTATCTGACAGCTTTATACCTCTTTTCTCCAGCTGAAATTGATAACTATAGGTAGAATTCTATTTGCGCCTCATTCCTTAACTGTTCTCCTCACTGCATCAGAAAGATGGTAAAAATGTGAATGCAACTTAAATCTGCTTACCAGTTCAATATTTTTCTCTAATGCTGCTGGATTATCATAGCAGTAGTAACTTCCTATGAGACAGAAAACAGGACAACCAAAGAATGCAATTAGTGTGGCAGTAAAAGTTGTCCTGAGCAATGTTGTCTGCAAACCTGTGTTCAGGTGGTTGAATAATCAGTTAGCATCACCATATACAGGGGTTTCAATAACTTTTTCCATAATGGCTGCTCCCTTTTTAACCTTTTCACTCCCAGATCTTGTTAGTAATCCTCCTCACTCTCAACCATACAATTCTTGTGATATTTTTGGTATTGGATCAACTTATAATCTCCTTATAGATATTCTTCTTTCTTCTTATCACTTGTCTGCTTGATATTGTTTTGGTATTGTAACAAGAAATTCTGACTTGATCACTCATGAGAATTAAAGGGTTAAAAAGAAGGAAGTAAGAGGTGTTATAAGTGGTGGTAGACCACCAGATATCAGTTTTTAAAACATTTGTAAAACAGTGGCAGTCAACACAGGACTTACCCCCTGCATGATCTGACCAAGGTAGTTATCTAGTAAATAAGAACAAATTCTTAAATCAAGGAAAAGCAGAGAATGGTCCAAAATACAGTTAATTAAGATTAGTTTGTCTCTGATGACCCAATTTTCAACACCTCAAGACAAGGAAAAATGAAATGAAATGAAATGAATTATCAGCTAAATTTATTTTGATTACTTGATTAAATTGATATAGGCGAAGTAAGATTATTGAATTTTATTGATCTGCAGAAGGGAATTCCTTGGATCAGAGCATCTCTTGGAAAAACACCTCGGCTGTGGATTTCTGTTGTGAGACAGCATCACGAACGAATGGAAAGTAGATTTACATAAAGTTAGCATAGCATATTAGGAGTTTCTAAAAGAGAGTGAAACAGGTAGCGATAAGCGGCGAAAAATCACTGTTTTTAATCACAGTTCGAGTGAATCTAAGTTTTAATAGTGAAAAGACTACACCATGTTGTCTTCCCCCCTGAAATGACAGCTATCTGAGCGCGTTTGTGTCTTTCAAAATTGAGGGAATGTTCGTGTTCGCCGGAACTGAACTGAAGGCAGAAGCTTTCGAGACTCCCAGGGTAAAGAATTACATGAAATATTTGGACTTTGCTCTTGTGACTACTCATCAGATTTCAAGGTTCATGCATGAAGTCAGTTTGTAATCGAGAGTTTGTCAGAAGTTTTTTTTGTCATTTTTTTAAGGTGCAATAATCAGTGAGCTAAGGAACTCACGTACGTTCGTGACAGATCAAACAGGCAATCCAGACTCAAACTTACCAAAACTCAAGAAGCATATCAACCCGAGGACAAAGTAGCGATGGACACCTTTTCTAGGATCACAGCACACTGTGGCTCCACAACCAGTCAATTCTTCACCAGAGTGTTCAAATTTCTTGTTGAGAAGAGGTGCTATTTCACCGTTCTCCGCCATCTTGAATCGACGAAGCGTATCTCATGATTAACACGTGACTTAGTTCTTTAAAGAGACTAGTTTTCCTTCCCAGACTTCCTCGAATCTCTCAGTCTCACCTTCGCGCTAGTTCCCTTATCTTTAAGTTTCCTATCGCAATGAATTTGTGGAACAATCAAGGGCTTCTTCAGGTGGCGATCATTTCCTTTATTCTCACGACCTTCATGTTTGATTCAGGGGTGATACTGTTTGGAGAAATATTATGCTAGTCATTTTTATCGGTGAAAAGACGGTAAGGCTACTATCACTGCGAAAGCCTACTCTTTTTAAAAATTTGCGTCACTAAAACGTACTTCCATCTTATTTTCAGCCTTCTTCCCATTTTTATCGTAGAATCTCGTCCGATCCCGAACTGCACAGCCCCATTTCTTCTTCCTTTGTTGCCCCATCTCTCTCAATGTGGAAAATACTAATAAAAGCACAAACAACAACAAGACCCACAGGCGGCGCATAGAGGGCTTCTCTTATGTAACAAACCTAAAAATGGATAACTCACTAAAATGGGTTCTTTTCAATAAAGAAAGCGGTCAGATAACAAGTGATGCGCTGTAGAAGTACGGTGAGGTATTTTTTATTGAGAATTTTGACAGTATTTTTTTTAGTCCTACGAGCGATCGTAAATATTCCCATATAAACTATTATAATTTCACCATAACTCTCCGTTCGCAAGATGATCATCGCACAGCTGGAGCTTGGGCCGCCTGTGCAAGACCAGACCGAGAGCTACATTCCCTACTCTTTACGAGAGGTGCGTCGATTCTTTAACATCCCCTGCTAACCAGTACAGAGAAGATGCGGGAGACGGGGCCTAAGGTTTATCTTCCTTATCCGAGAAGACTAGAACATCTAACCAATCACAGATGTCATAGCAAAGACAGCATATCCTCCTCAGTTAATTTAAGACCCTGAGTGTTGGTCTGGTCTCGGGCTTGAACCTTCAACCTCCCGCATGGCATTCCGGCCCTCTACAGCATGAGCTGACCAAGCGCGGTCAAAACAGTGCACTACGATTTCGGACAGCTCTGCCCGATTTCGACTTTAGAATGTATTTGCGTCCCAAGGAGTCAAACAATAGAAAAATTTGATCGGACCATACTCAAATAGTGCAATGCAAACTCAATGTAAAATACAAATATAAGAAAATAATCTTGACGAAATTTGAGATCAAAGAAGCCGAGGATGTTAGGAATCCACTTAAATGAGGTAAGCCTGTAAATCGTATCAACAACAGTGGATAGTTAAGAGAGCATGAACGAAACTTCGTTTGCAAACATTAAACATTTCTACATCTCTATCTGATTTCAGATGGCTCCGCCAGTTTAGGACGGTTCCTCGTGATTTCGGACGCTTCGGTCCGATTTCGGATGATTTCGTCCGATCTTGGACGATTCCGTCCGATTTTGAATTGTTTCGTCCAGTTTCGGATGGAATATGCCCGATTGGGGGCAATATGAAGAGAACACGAACAGCTTATGTTCACTAATGTTCTCTTGATGGATGATAACTTCTATCAGCTCGTGTTCTCATCATAATCACAGTTACCCAAACTAAATGCAAACACCTTAGGTGAAAATTTTTTGAGGGAGTCTGAGTTATTTTCCTCATGGAATAATCCACACTAGTCTTTCTCAACATGAACCGAGTATCGCTAGAATGTATACAAACTGAGTGTTATGGGGACCTGGTAAGAATTTTCGAATAGGGATTTCTTTCTTGCGCCTAACTAGGATATAGGGATGTACCTGTTTTATCATTCATAAGATTTCTCATTTATTCTGGATGAATAAGAACTCTTTAAAACTCAATTCTTCATAGGACGCAGCTGTGTTATGCTTCTCTCCCACCCCCCGTTAGGAAATCCTACTCACGATCCCATCAGCTACCCTTCTTCTCCTGCATCCCACACCCCACACCCCCCACCCCCTGAGCACGGTTGAGTGACCAATTTTACGTCCCAGAGGTATGTTTTCTGATGATCGATATCCAAGACTGACAAGGGAAATCGGGCGTGTCGTAGCTTGTGTAGTTAGTGTTTTTCTTTAATTTTTTTGTTTTTGTTCTCTTTCTTTCTTCCTTTTGAATATTCACTTATTTTAACACTCGGACTCGCGAAAACGAGTAACGAGCGGTTTCTCACATTATTTTATGTCCAAAGCCATTGGCAGCTTGACCACTGGTTATCGAGCGGTACTGTGCTACTCAAAGCTCTGACTGAGCACACTTAACAGTGGTATGTACGGTTCAGGGGCGCTGAGACCTCTATTGTGAGTCGTAAGTCGAAATGAGAGGTTTTTAAGAACTTTTCAATTAATTTTGTCCAGGATTGTTGATTGCGAGCAATCCATTTTTCCTACCTTAGTCATTACCTTGATTCGAATCAGCTTCTGACTCGAACAATGGGCTAAGCTTAAGGAGAGAGAGCACACGTTAGTGATGTGCTTGCCAGAGACACGTATTGGCTCGGAAACAGAACCAAAATACTATCACACGTAATTAACATGCATGAGCAAGTGAACCTTTAATTTCTCTAAGAATATACTACTGTAGTTTTAAAGATAGATATAGACTACATCAGCTCAGTTTGCAACTAGTTAAATAACCTACAGCTTTTACCACGTTTTTCATCGCCGAGTTTGAAAAAAAAACCACTAGCATGCTGAATATGAAAAAAAATTCTTATTTTCAGTCGTTATCATCGAGAGTTATCACTGAAATTATCTGGCATCATTGTTTCCTGTAAGAAGAGCAAGAAAGCAAAGTGAAAATAATTATTAGCAAAAAACGTACATAACTAACTTCACTAGCCACTACCAAGTAATTTTGGCTTAGTATCATTTTACAAGGTAGAGCCCTTGTAAAATAGGTAGAGCCCTTTCCCTTTTTATATCGTTTTTAGATAGTCTAAGATAATCTCGTACCCAGATCATACCGTGTAACTGAACTGAACTTTAGACGCTTAGCCGTGGAAAATCTGGGTATGAGACTAAGACTAAGATAATACAAAAGCATCCATAATGTTCATATAAAGTTTCATTCGGGGTAACCGCCTATCGTTGGACTGGAACCAAGAGACTAATCTATATTAGTCGCGGGGAGGGGGGGGGAGTAGGAGGATTTTGGTTGTGACACTATAAAATTTACCCGATTTCCCCCCCCCCCCCCCCCATAAAGTTTTGTAATATTCTTATGATTCCCCTTCGCTGGCAGTTAATTAGCAGTCAATTTTCCTCATTCACCCTTTGTACTCTGTTGGCGACGACTGACCTTCCCTCTGTTCCTCCTATTGTGTATCATATCTTCTTTATTTCAAATTACATACTTGCTCTGATAAGACACAAGTACCTTCTCACCTTACTCGCGTATTTTGTAAACGTAGTGAGCCCAGTGCTCCCCAGTCCCCTCCCAACAGTTCGTGGCCTGACCATATTTCATGAAATTCTTATCGTCAGAGACCCAACACTCTCCGTAGAACTGCACTGCGAAATACATTCTGCCTTCCGTTTTCGCCAACTCATAGCATCTCCGCACTGCAAAACAACGCGTCACTCAATAGGAAGACATTTGATGAAAGGTCCAGGAAAGGGGAAAAGGGATAGCGTAACATGCAGATGTCTTATTGGCTCAAATTGACGTTACAAGCTCGCGATCGTTTATCCGACCAGGTACGCCGTGCGCTGCCGTAAAAATCAGCGATAACAGCTTTATCGAAACATTTACCGAGAACATACTGAAAAAATTACGCCTTTTCTGCAGGCTAGTGTAGGGAAGGAGAGGGGTAACTGGCGAAATTTAATAAGAATTGTGATGAAAGAAAAAATTTCGCATAGAACGAAAAAAATATTCACACTTAGAACGTGGTAAATTCATTCATTAACCGTCCAGAAGTTTTTATTATTTTTGGATGTATTATGGCAAAAATACTTACAAAATTTACTCGCTTTAAAATGTGGGTGACGAAGTTATGGGTCGATTGCTCATAGGGACTTTGCTCATAAGTTACTTTGTGACTGGAGAGAAACTCTAACCTTGATAATTTGATATAAAGTTTTTAAAACACAAACCTGTTTTGCTCATGTCATACCAGTCGATTTCTCTACGAAGATTTTTTAGCCACTTCATAGTTCGTCCACCTCCAGGTCTGTCTTCCCAGCAACCCAAATTATGGTACGGCCCAAATTCATAAACAGCATTGTGTGACAATTTGCCCACACCTATCAAAGAGTTAGAGAGTCAACAGTCAAGATTAAGATACTCAGACTGTCAGGTAGTCAATCATACTGATCAATCTGGTCAGTCAATCAGTCAGTAGGTCAGTCGGTCAATTAGTCAGTCAGCCAGTCGGTTATTAAGTTGGTCAACCAGTCAGTCAATAAGTCAGTCAGCCAGTCAATCAGTTAGTAAGTCAGCCAGTCAGTCATTTCGTATGTCAGTCAGCCAGTAAATCAATCACTCGGTCGTTTAGTGAGTCGCCCGGCCGGTCAATCGGTCGGTCAGTCAATAAGTCAGTCAGCCAGTCAGTCAGTCAATAAGTCGGTTAGCCAGTCAGTCAGTCAGTCAGTCAGTCAATAAGTCAGTTAGTCAGTCAGTCAATAAGTCAGTTAGTCAGTCAGTCAATAAGTCGGTTAGCCAGTCAGTCAGTCAGTCAGTCAGTCAGTCAGTCAGTCAGTCAGTCAATAAGTCAGTCAGTCAGTCAGTCAGTCAGCCAGTCAGTCAGTCAGTCAGTCAGTCAGTCAATAAGTCAGTCAGTCAGTCAGTAGTCAGTATGTCAGCCAGTTGGTCAGTACGTCAGCCAGTTGGTCAGTACGTCAGCCAGTTGGTCAGTACGTCAGCCAGTTGGTCAGTACGTCAGCCAGTTGGTCAGTACGTCAGCCAGTTGGTCAGTACGTCAGCCAGTTGGTCAGTACGTCAGCCAGTTGGTCAGTACGTCAGCCAGTTAGTCAGTACGTCAGCCAGTTGGTCAGTACGTCAGCCAGTTGGTCAGTACGTCAGCCAGTTGGTCAGTACGTCAGCCAGTTGGTCAGTACGTCAGCCAGTTGGTCAGTACGTCAGCCAGTTGGTCAGTACGTCAGCCAGTTGGTCAGTATGTCAGCCAGTTGGTCAGTATGTCAGCCAGTTAGTCAATCAGTCTTTCAGTCAGTTAGTCCGCAGCCAAAGAGACATTCAGACCAGTTAGTCAGTCAGTCCATCAGCAAGTCAGTCATTCCATCAGTTGGCTAGTCTTTCAGTAAGATAATCAGTCAGTTGTCATCATTGTCGCAATGTCACTTTTCACACCTTATTGTAACCAAACAAATACCATCCTTTTGGAGTGTAGGGTGAGGTAAAGATACATATCACCAATACTAATAGGTTTTGGTTGATCAGTCAGCTAGACAATCAGCCCATTGAAATCATGGTCAGTTAATCAGTTAGTCGCTCACATAATCATCAGCCAGTAACAAATTTTATTACCGAAATCGCAGCCACTTTTTGCAGCTCTCATTTTCTTGTAGTCAGGATGACCTTGTTGCGAATAGCACTCGGCGAAATATTGTACACCAAATAGGTTGAAGTCTTTGCCACTAGAGATGGCGTCCCTTGCACACAGTAAAACATTTTCCCCAAGGTTATGCCAGTCGATTTTACCTCGATGGTTTGAATAAAAGTCTGGCAAAATCCTGTTTCCTGGGTCGTCGATCCAGCAGCCGCTATACACCAACTCAGGGATTTCTTACAAAAATTAAGCATACAAACCAAACAGGAGAAATAGTTAATAGGGCGTGAAGCGATGCTCATTTTCGATTTCAGCTTCAATACAGTTTGTTATTCTTCGTCCTTTATTGAGTTTACGAGTTTAGCTTGAACGAACGCCTTCCAATAGAAAGAAAGGGCATCTCAGTTAAGTGTTGCAAAAATCTATACTTACATTAGTAGGACTTTGAATAAGAAGGGCAATCTGTCAAGGAAGCTAAGTGGATGTTTTTATTGTTATTTTGCAGACTCTAGCTAAAGCAGGCCATATTAAAACTTACCTTATTTTTTCTCAACGGTTCTGTTTAAATTCGTTGACTTCACTCTCTCAGTTAGAGTTATGGCTGGTCTTTGTATGCTCAGGAAGTTATTCATGATTAATTCATGTTCGTTTGGAAAAATTAATCTTTTTTTCATAGTTTGTTTCGGTAGCCTGATTACTGAAAAGTTATAGAGGAGATTTGTTGTGATTCATAAACATACCCGGGTCGATACACCTTACTCCAGCGTCGTCTTTATGAGTACATTTACCGACCACACCCCAGCCGTCATTTGAACATTCCAGGATGGACTGCTCCGAGCCCTCGCACACCACATTTGACAAGTGGATCTGATACAAAAGTACGCAAAAAGCGATGAGGATGAATTTCGCTTTTAGCTGGGTAACTAACCCTTACTCTAACCCTAGGCATTGGGATTGGATACACGACATAACACACAAGTTGTGGACGTTCCGGTGCAGGATTGCAAGTGCATCAGTCAGCCACTGTTAGGGAATAAGCAACTACTTATTGGGTGATTTTGCGTGCGCTTTAAGGCGAATCATGCTCCAGAAATCATCTAAATTCGATCCCCACGATTAAAAGTTGTTAATGAAAAAGTAGAGTTACCACGTTATAGATCCCAAGGAGTATTCCAATTGTTGTAAAATTCAAATGTGTAGAGGAAAAACAGGAAAAACTCGGCTTTGCTCCACGCCATTTTGAAAAAAAAATAAAAATGATAAAAATAGAGTAACCGGCCGCTAACGGGAAACCAAAAAAACGCATGTCACAAAAAGCTGCTGTTTTAGTTAATACAAAAATATGTCATCATCTGAGTCAAGACTGCCGTTTTGAATAGCTTCCATTTCGTTTCTGTGCCTAGTAAAGCTGGTGATATTGTGATAGAAATTAAGAAAAAAGAAAAAACAAGATAATTGCGTTCGAAATCATTCTTTTTGGCTGGCGGACTTGCTGGCTGGCTGACTGGCTATGTGGCACAAATAGTCTCGATCTCATGTACAAATGCATTCTTGGCCGCCTTAAGCTGAAGACACGGATTTTTTTTCTGCGCAATCAGTACAATAAAACAACTTTTACTAGAGATCAAACACTTTACCACTCTTTGAATATTACTAGTATTAAGTGAGATAAAAAGTAAAAAAAAACCCTCTTACCGGACCAGAACCCTCTGAGTCATTATATGCTTTTTTAGTTGCGAATAACGCTCCACTGAACCCCAGTTCCTTGCAGACCACATCAGCGGCGTCATGTGACCAATTCTCATCACAAATTGTCCCCCACTGGCCATCATGGTACACCTCGATACGTCCTCCCCCTATGTCCTCCTCTGTAGTGATCAGGCGAACTCGATTTTCTGCAACGTGATAATGAAGTAGATATCCTTAGGGAAAGTCATTATTTGTGGGCCGGAGGGGAGGAATTTTTTTTTTTTGGGGGGGGGGGGGGAGTCACATGGTTTTCAGGGGGAATGAGGAGAGGATCGGTCGTTGACAAGAGAGTAAAAAGGGGGGACTGGAGAAAACTGACTGCCAATTGAGTGTCAAAAAAAGGGGAGATCACCCAGGGCGATAAATCATGAGTCTCTTCTAGTGTTTCTAAGTACTTTAAAACCCTTAAACCTTCGTTACTCTCTTAAAGTTCTTTCAAAGTCTTAAGATTTTTTCGGCCTTTTAAAGTCCTTTCAAAGTTTCTAGTTAGTAGACACCAATTGGGCATATAGGTACTTATAATGCTGGAGCCGCTCGTGTCGTTTCTGTCGCACGAATGGAGTCGAAGTAATTTTCTTTAGCTTAGATGGAATGCTGATACAACCACGTCGTTCCCATGTTCCCTTCCTTCTCTCGTCGTCCTGCAAACCCTTGAGCGAGAGAGGGGAAGAAAGGAGAGACCCTGGGAAGAAGATTTTTCACCCAGCAAATTTTCCATATTGTTTGAAAAACAATATCGAGAATAAAGGTCAAATCTTTTTCCTTTTTTTGAGAATTTTACGTGATCAGTATTATGTAGTTAAGAAACACCACAAGTAAGGTCCATTACTTTCGATAACTAACCTATTTCAACGGATCCTTTGCTGCACACTGCGAGAGAAGAACGCAAAGAAATGTGTCAATCAGTTTTTAGGTATTTTACACAGTTTCATACGATCAGCAGTAACAGTTTGATTATTCTTCCCTTTGTGATCAACTGTTCAACCCTCTTTCCCTCCAAATATCAATCCGAAAAAAAAATAATTTTCATGATACAAAGAAGAAGCAATCATGGGGTGAACAAAAGGGAAAAAACTAGGTTTTAACGAACGAAGAGATTTTGCCTTTAGTTGAGGCGTACTTTGCGGAATAAAACGGAGACTTTTGGCGGGCTTGAAATGTATTTTTTCGTTCAGACTGTTTTGTTGTATTTTTTGAGATTTAATTTTCTTAACGCCCTCCAAAGTGATAATGATAGTAAAACAGTTTATGTTCTTAGGCATAAATTTGCTTTAGGCCTCTCTATGAGTCATATTTATGCTACGGACATAAATTCTACCGTATTATTTTCTGCTTGAGGCAAAAGCTTTTCCTTCTAAAAGTAACAGCGAGTGCACTCCGTTCGAAAGAAAATTAAGATCAGTTGGCGCCGAGTGAAACAAGTTTGATATGACATTCGGTAAAACTGTCAATTAAGGAAGGAGAAATGTAAATAACGTTGGAGGACTGGGATCGGATGTTTCGTCAAACGATCGAGCTTGGGACACTATGGAAAGGAAATGATTTATCTATTAAAGGTGTGCTTTTTGAATTTTTAATATTTTAATCAAAGGTAAAAAAAAACTCCTTGATTTTAAGGTCAAAGTTGGGGATGAAAAGAAAAAATATCCTAGGACTAGTCGGTAAATTTCCTTTAAGTTAATACTTATGTGCACGACAGTGAGGTTTACATTGCGTATTTGCACTTAACTAGAGAAAAAAAAATAATAACGAGACTTCCTCATCTACTTAAAAAAAGGTGGGCGAAAATCTTCCCAGAGGGCACTTTCATTGAGGAACGAAAAGATACGTTGTGCTTCAACCTGTTTCGCATTCGATGCAACGTTAATCTATTAGCACAAACGGGTTGCTCGGGAAGAAAAGAAATTCCGAAATCGCAGACTTGACCCTTATCAAATCATCTACTTTAGCGCCAGTGGGTGAAAAAAATTGGAAAGCAACCAATTCAAAGCTCGAACAAAGCATTTATCGTAACAATAAATGGATAACCAGTTTTCTACAATACGAATGGCAGTCAATAATGGATAAAAAGACCTATGTAAAGCTATTATACAAAGCAGCTTGTTTAGCTGTAACCCAACAAAGATTTTCACCATTTGTTTGATGGACGAGCCTAAAGTAACTTTACATTTGTTTTGTTCAAAATCAAAGGCCTTCTGAAAAATGGAAAATGTCACGATTTTTGCTCACAGATATGTTTTTTACCTTCATAAAACCTTAAATCTATGCCTTTCAGAAACAAGGGCCTTCTGGAAAAATAAACAATTTTCATGGATCTTTTTCATATAAATTTTTGTTACCTACACAAAAACTTTGTATCAAAGATCGATTGAAAAATAAAGAAAGAGAAAGAAAGATTTCACAGATGGAAACTCTTTCAAATGTCCTTGCATTTTCTCGGAGAAAAACTTAAATGCGCTAGTCGTTGAACTTGACTTAGGTGACTTATCTGTTGAGATGATACAGAAAAAAACAGTTCTTTGTAGTTAGTCCTTTAGTAGAATTTGATTCACATTTTCAAGCTGTACGTTAGTTCCTTCATTATCAATTATTTCAAAGCGCCGTCACTCTAATTTGGTTCGGTTGCACTTCAAAAACAACTGACAGCAAAATATGGATTTCACATTGCATCAAATTGGTAATTTCAACAAATTTGTGGAAGAGTAGTTGAATGTAGTAGATTACCTGTTAGAGTCACAACTGTTAGCAAGCTGCGGAAAACCCAAGGCAAATTCATGGCTGAGGTTTGAACTGCGAAACTACACACCTTCGGACACAGGATTCCTTTCTGTTAAATGCGCAGAGCAGCTGAAATAAGTCTATTTAAATTGTGTTTGTTGTCTCGCTGACAATGCCAGTCACGCGAATAAGTGAGGCAAATTTCCGGCCGAGTTTTCGCTTAACAAGCATTGATTACACTCCGTAAGTCCAGTGTTTGCCATGTTAAAGAGCTTGAACTGTGCAATATCAACGCAAAATAAATGTTGAAAAACAATGCTAAGAGATTTATGCAATATAATTACTTTTAGAATTAAACAGCTAACGTTTTCATGTTACTCGAATTTAATGGGTTTGATCTAGTTACCGATAAATCGGATACGACGGAAAGCTTGCGGCGACGAATATCAGCCCAGGTTAACTGAATTCCCAAGATTGACAAGAAAGAAGTTTCTGAACCAAATTTGACGAAGAAAAGCAAAATGCTTAAAGTGGAGAATTAGGAAAAATGATTAAAAAAGCGCAATATTTTCATGATTCTTCCTGTGTTAACATTTGTTCCCTGAAAAATCATATTTCAAGTTAATGGCACTCGTCCTAGTATCAACAGTCAGTCGAAGGATTAAAAGACTTAAAAAAAAAAAAAAAGCAACAGCAGCAAGCTGGGAATGAGATATCAATTAGGAGTTTAAAAAAAAATTACCGAAACGAAGAAGAACAACAAATAAATCGTGGACAAATTATTATGTCAGTAAGAAAGTGAAAGTCTTTTAAAAAGAGGAAAATATGAAATTGGACTTGTTTCACTCGTTTGCTATGATGTTACCGCCTAAAAAAAAAATGTTTGTAAACCGTGGTCTATCTTATTATCTTCTCGTTATCTCGTTAAGTTGAATCAAATCGCACCCTTATTGACTACCGCATTGTAAAGAAATACGCAAATAAAAGCAATAAAACTTTCTAATTTTTACGAATCCGGAAAGATCAGAAGATACTTGACACCTTTTCCTCGCAGCCGTTAGACTAATGCAAGAGGAGCTTGACAAATTCATCTTTTATTTTCTTTTTTTGTCCTTACTGACGACAGGCCGCGTTCAACTCTGAGGAGTTTGTGTCTGTTTTTGTCATGATTACTCGCTCTTTATGAATTATTCCTTTGTTGATACAAATTAATAGAGGAAAAATGAGGAAAACCGGACATAAATCCGCCTACACCAAAGACTATAGCAGACAGACTAATCAATGGTAACTGAATGATTATGCCGGCGGATCTCATAAGTTTCACAGTTGTAATTATCAGAGAAAGACCTGAATACCGAGAGTACACGGGTGACCCAGGAGTAACAAGAGGGAAGGTCACCGTTTCCCTACAGAGCGGAGCGATAATTTTGGGGAAGGGAGGGGAAGAAAGATGTCTTGGGTCTGTATGAGGAAAAAAGAAATGATCTACGTGCTCATTATCATATCTTCAGATGAATGTAAACTAGTCTGATATCATCAGCTGCTTTAATGATTTTTCACACAATTTTAGACGAAAGTGCCGCCTAAATAATTGTCCGAAGGAACTAGAAATTTTTTTATCGCCTGAGGGAAGGGGAAGGTCGGAAAATATTTGTTCATATGGTTTTCTGAGGGGAACGGAGGGGTATCAGTCGTCGCCAACAGAGTATGAAGGGGGAACTAAAGAGAATTGACAATAAGGGGAGGGGGGTCATAAGAACAGTACAGAGCTGGCCCCCCCCCCGGGAGTTTTCGTCGACACAATTGCCCTTGGTAGGTCTCCTCGAACCCGCTCTCCCCCCGTTGATGACGCTTACGGTTAAAGTGTAAGAACCGATGCCCACAATTATTCAAGAATCACAACAACAAAAGGGCAGTAAAACACTTTGCAGCGGTTTAATTTCATTGAAAATAAAATAATCTAAGTTTCTGAAGAACATACCTCCAAAGAACAAATATACTGTACACATAACAAAAATATATTAGCTTTGTGCAAATGGACTCGACCACCTGAACTAAATTGGAAAATAAAGGTCTCCGAAAGGTTTTGCGCGCGCTCAGTGGAATGTCCATCATGTTAATATCTTCACTCGAACATAGACTCAACCTACAAACAGTAATGAAACGCAAGCCTCAAATGGACTTCGTCCTCTGATGACACCTTTTCTCACAGTCAAACTTTTTTCGTGTTTGAAATCAGTTTGGTTTGATTTAATCGACAAAAAGACTGTTAACGATAAATTGTTCATGTTCCTTGGTGAAGTCGTCTGCAATGTCATTGCCATAATAAAGCTTTCTCCAAATCTGAGAAAGCCAGGTATATAAGAGCTTGTTCAAGCATTCATTGTACTCGAAATGTCACATAAATTCTTCACAATTCTTGACGCACGTTCAGCATCGACGCTCAAAAGCCACGGTCAGTGATGGACCACTTTTTGGCCTGAAAATTCGCGTGAACACATTGGCGGCCCAGCTTTAACATAAGGGTCCGTCTGTATAATATTGTATAACGTAGCAGGAAAGTGATTGCTACACCAAAATCTAGCTTATCTAGCTTCGGTCGAATGATTATTTTTCTCCTTTGCGGTTTTAAGTTGAATCTGAGCAATTAAAGCGGTTTTTAGTTCCTGCGATTTTTTTCTATCAATATGGGTATCTTTAAGAAAAAGCAGAAGAACTGAAAACGTCGACATTGCTATGATTTTATAGATATAGGAAAGGGCGGTGAACTAGAAGATCGCTTACAACCCATATTGAAAAAAGGAAACGCGCAATTGAAACGACTTTAAGTTCAATCGCTACCATTTTTAGATTTCTAAATGCGTCCATTTCCCCCATGTAAATCCTATTTTTTTCCTCTTCTGTTGCGCAAAATCAGTGTAGTATACAGTGCTTGGGCTGCCTGTGGTGATCCTGTGGCTTGGTCAGGATGTCATCCATTCTTATCCGAAAAAGGTTTTACCATACACTTGAAACTCTCATACAAAATTACTCAAAGCGTTCAAGAAGTCTGTCAAGCACACGATTAGCTGCCCAAAACTGGGTCGTTCATCTTCCGACAAAGCCCAACAACAAGCGATGACTGTGAAAAGTTCATCCGGGCAATTCACCGGCTGCGAAATTCTGTGTCCTTGTTTGAGGAAGTTGAGCATTTCGAAGGCGTCGATATTCCCGTACGGCTGTTGTCCCAGAGTCATTAATTCCCACAGAAGAACACCATAGGCCCACTTTGAAGGACGAGAGTGTATAGAGAGAAAAAGAGACAAAAAAGACAGAAACCATTTTTGCTTCTCCAGTTCAGAAGTGCTTAGAAAATTTTTAAAAAATCCTATCCTATTCTCTTAAGTATACTAAATAAAACGATAACCTTCATCCTATCTTTTCACCGACAAGGTAGCTGTCGCTTTCTTTCTAGTAAGGGTGCAAAGGGTGTAAGGGTGTGTGTGTGTGGGGGGAAAGAGAGGGGTCCTGATCGCATTTCACGCAATAATTTTTGAAAAATTCACGGTCACATGTACTTTCACGCGTCACGAATTTAAAAGGGAAAATTTCAAACCTTGCTTCACCTCACCTCGCCTTTCTGTAAAATTCACGCGTCGCGTATGAATTCTGGGCTTAATCACGCTTCGCGTAAAAACCCTTTGCCACCCTCGTAAATGTTCACTCAAATCCTCGATTTTCTGTTTTTGTTTTGTTCTAAGAATTGGGCCAAACGGTGCAATCGTTCGCTGTATCACTCTACGATAACAGAGATTACGTCTACCAGAGAAAATAGGTCACTACATCGAGCCGACATTCAAGCTTGCTTTCAGTCACCATGGTCGAAAATGGGTACTGACTGGAACTCCAATATCGCCCCATAAAGTAAAACTACATTTTCTTGGGCTTTCAATTTCCTAAACTGTAATCGATACTACAGTAGCTAATAAGTTATAAGAAAAGCTTACCACGTCACTAGCAACTGTAAATCTTAACTTTTCCAGGCTCTCCACCGCCATCCATTTCACCGGTCTGTTCTCGTTATCTCCCAGGCAACAGTAATCTTGCGGGAATAAGTCTCTCGATAGGGCACAGTCAGTGACTTTCACATTCAAATCGTCATCAATGCTGGAGTAAAAAAAAAAACATAACTGCTTGACTTTACGCAACAAAATCACAAAGGTTTTTTCAAAGTTTCCATTTCATTTATTCACTGTAGGAAAGAAAAAAACTTAAGTTGAGTGGTATGGATTTCCATCAGTGCCTCGCAAACTTTCCAAGAAATATTTCAACCCAAAACGAAAATAGCCCTGGGAACAAAAAATTTGCAAGGCAAAGTAAAGTGTCTGAAAGGCGGGGTGGGCCTCAGTCTTCTTCGCAGCCGCTGTTTGGTCTCGTCAAGCAACGCGCTCTTAAATGTTCACCACGATCATGTGAATTCTTGTTTAAGTGTGAACACAGTGTTAATGTTACCTGGGGAAAGGTTACCTGGGTCAATTTTTGCTAGCATGTGCCGCTGGCCTCTCAGAGCCTTCACCCCATAATAGGTTATTCTGTGGCCAATTATCATCGTCATCAAATTGTGTGCACACAATGTTAATGCTGGTGAGAAAGAAGTTAAACAAAAAGGTTCTGATTTTATAATCCCTCCCTACCAGAATTTTCTTTCCCCCAAAACCCCGAATATGTGACCCCATGTTAGCGACTCAATTGAAAATGCAACCCCATGTTAGTCAATTCAGTCGTGAAAATGCGACATCATCCAGTGGAATATCCCATAGGCCTAGTACTAGGAGGTACCCTCCCCCTGGAATGCTACCCACATAAGAAAGGCACTGGCAAATTTTCTACTTACACGCAGTTCCTAGCAGCTACATCCTTGTGAATAATTCGTCGCCTTGCTAAGTATTGTAGTCCTTTAGCAATTTGTATGCCGACGTGGACCAGGTCAGCGGTTGTCAGCGACTATAGCATTTAATAAAGTATTTCATAGAGTATTAAATGACTCAAAAGAATGAATGGATCGTGTTTTCAACGACTGGGGCATATTTGCATATGTCAACTAACCGGATACAGCATGTATTTTGATTTAGCATGAACAGTATGCAACGATATTCGATTAACTAAAAGGGAATCTTTTCCTTCATAGTTTAGCTCCTGGGCAGATTCGAGTCAGCCCTTTAACTCCCCGAAGTGATTTGATTCAAACTTCTCCCTAAAATATCCACACACGATCGAGCTAACTGGTAATGAGAATACGCAAACTTATTAGGTAGAAGTTGTCATCTTGATCTAACAAAAAATTATCAAAACTATTTTACAAGAGAATGTGTCTCAGGTTGAGGGGAGAAATAACAATCAGGCCTTGAGGATTTAATAAAGATTTTAGATTACTGTGGTAACGTTAGCGCACTATGGTTACAAGTGGGCTAGATTTCATGAGGTTTACTAAGGCATGACAACAAACGCTACCTAACTCCTTTCTCATGGCGTTACACTAGTGTGACCAAGAGGTACTAGCGTGACACAAACATGGCAGAACTTACCTTTGAGCCGCCTTCAGGAGATCTGGATTTCTTAATATACAGTTTAAGATTCCCTCTGTTCATGAACGGAAACATTATCAAGGGTTGTTTTTCATCTTCAAGGCACACCGCCATAACAGGAAGAAGATTTTTATGAGTAAGGTCCTTTAGCATTGAACTTTCTATAAGTAAGAGGTTGATTTGGTCTTCCGATGCCATTCCAGACACAGTTTTCACCAGAACGCTTTGCTGTTGTGCTTCTCCGGGCCCAGTTAAAACGCCATTATATATACGAGCAAATGTCCCTGTAATGAAAATAAGATTATATATAATAAACTGAATTACACGCGCATTTTGATTGGTTGTTACTTATGATCTATTGGAGGACAGACGCACAAATGACGTCTCTATTAACACCTTTTTTTTTTTTGGCTTCTTTATTTCAGAAACCATGTAGATTCCATGGATTCCATCCTGTCGTAGGTCTGAGCGTGATAGATCACAGAAGACATTAAAATTTAGTGAGAATATTAGAGACACACTCGGGTGCGACTCGTGTGTCACTTTTTGGTTCTTACCACAAGTTTACGTCATCTGTGATCTAAATTAAACGGATAACCAACAGGGAAAAAAGTAAGAGGGACAGTCGATCCTAACAAAAGCTCATTTTCTGATGATGTTTTTCTCTCTGTTCGAGAAGAATGCTTCCCTCTGAAAGCCTAATAGACAAGTATTCCTCACCTTCTTCTAGCAAATCTCCCAGGGTAATCCTGTCCATATCCACCTCCAGGTCTTTTAACTCGGCCTTCATGTCTCTGTTTCCATATTTTCCCTTCTGCGTTGATTGCAGCCCCCCTCCACCGTAAATTCCATCACTGGGGGTAATACTGATTGTACTGTCCCTTACAGGGAACCCACCTGGAAGTCTAGGCCTTACATGGGGCACATGCACACCACCATTTGGAATATGATTTGTCACCACAGGTATGCTAGCGGTTACAGCATTTGCTGTTAAAACAGGGATCTGGTTGGTATTTCTTGTAACAGGTATGGGCACATTTTGAGGACTGTTATTTCCATCTACAGTTGGTGCAAGAAGGAAAGAAAGAAAAAGAAGTTTCGAATTTGTAGTGGGCTCCAAAAAAAAAAAATTGAGTGCTAAAATAGTTATTATCATTGATAATTCCTTCATTTTCAAAAGCTGTCAAAAGTTCAAAGGTATGAACTGTTGATTCCACACATGTATTTTGCTAAATTTGAGTTTGCAAATGGTGTTCTAAAAATTTATTGTCAGTATATTTGTTTAAGGAGATTTCTCAAATCCATACTTTTAACAGGCTCTGTAAACATTTAACTTCCAGAAGTGCTTGACATGAAACTTCTCCCTATAATATCCATACTTTATCCAGCAAACAGGTAATGAGAAAACACAAACTTATCAGGTAGAAGTTGTTACCTTGATTCTAATACCAAATTCCCCTGAATAATTTACAAGGAAATATGTAGCAGCTAAAGGGGAGAATTTACCAAGACATCTTGGGAATTAAAAGGCTAGATAATTTCAGTCTACAGCTGACAGTAGTCGATTTGATAGAGAAGGTTGACAATGGCTTCTAAAAACACAACACTTATCAGTTCTCCCATGCTAGATATCATTTTATCTGAAGATGTTCAGAGGAAAAATAACATAAAGATCATGTTGAGTACCTGGACTGCTTGTTTCTTGTTTTGGTTTACCAACAGCAGTAATGAGAGGAGTTTTGGACACACTTTCCTGCTGCCTTCCCGGGTTGTCTGTATCACTGTGCATGTACAAGTAAATTTTCAGTGCAAGTACATTCTAACAACATTCTCATTTGGTTACTTCCTGATGGAGAGTAGAGTTGTCATCAGAAAATGTATTAGATATATGATCTACATTGAGTAGGTGGTGGAATTGAATTATGCTTGCATTGCAACCATGGGATGCATTTCTGCAACACACCCTTCTGAAGGGGTCTGGCATGCTCCTCCAGAAATAATTGAAATTTAAAACTATTTGAGACATGATTTCCAGCATTTGGGGACATGTGTGAGTGACTTTTTTTTCATCAGACATTGATCTTAGAATCCCTAAAAGAATACTTATTGAGTCTCTTTAATCAACAATGCAAAATGGTCTAACAGCCAATGGGTTTCCACTGCCTGTTTCCTTCTATGACAACCCTGTGTATGGAAACTACTTTATGGGGGTTCCTTGCATTGGTGAACTGCCAATACCACACAAGTGGTTATTCATTAAACAACTAAAAAGTGTGATTCAAATGGTTCTTACCCATCTTTGTTCGGACTTGGCATTGAATGGACATGAATTGCAGCCACAGCAAGGGCAATAACAAGAATAATGCTACAAGCAACTCCGACTGCAATGTAGAAGACTGTGGTTTTATCCATAGGAGGATTTGCTTCAGTGTGATCTGAAAATATTCATTTAACAAATATTTCCCAGTGGTCAGGAAAAAAAACATTTTTGGAAAGGGGGAAAGAGATGGCATTGTTTTCTTTGAATCCCCAACAATTATTATAATAATTTTGACTAAGATTGATTGCATTTTATTATCAAACAATTAAAATGATTTATTTGTTTAGATTCCAGACATTTAACCTTGAAAATCTTTTAAAGATAACTAAAATGAATAAAAAAACTAATATTTTCCAAAACTGAAATAGTTCTGATGAGAACTTCAGTTTTCATTTAAGAATGTCTCTATACATAACCACAAACTCTATTTTGAGGCTTGCCGAGTAAATGCATCATACATCTTACAAAGATCAAAGCAAATACAAAATTCAAATCTGGTTTAGAATTAGACTGTTGTAAGAACTACATTAGAACCCTGCTAACTCAAACAGAATCTGATTTCCCTTGGATTTGACACATTTTCCAGTCATTTATTATCAGCTACCTTGAATTCACTTAACCCTTTACACCCTAACATCATTATGCAAATTCTCCATACTGTTCTCTATACATTTGCTGGGTTTTAACGAGGAGAATTTGTAAAACCATCAAGAGCTTTGTTAGTTGCTGATCATTTCCTTTACTCTTGTGACTTAAACATTTGATTCAAGGGATAGATTGTAACTCAAACTCCCCATTAACTTAAACTAATTTTACTTTCTCTTAGCCCAATATTTAATCACAATTGATAGGAACATACAGTAGTAACATCTATGAGAATGTAATACATTCAGCTAAACTTGTCTTCTCAAACTTAACCTGAAAACAAACATTGCTAAAAGTGATGCATCAAAATAATAATTCTTGCTTTTTACCATTAAAAATAAATATCATAATGATAATCATTATTAATATAATTTATGGCAAAATTAATAAAAAATACATAATTACCATTTGGTATTTGAGCAACAGTTGGTTTCCCTATAGCAGTAGTATGGACAACTAAAAAAACAAAAAATAAAATAACTGTAAAATAACAGTGTTGTCACACACAATCTTCCTTATTTCTCATGGTAACCCAACTTCGAGAGTCATGTAAATGCCAACACAAGGATAGAGCCAGTAAAAATAAGTCTACAGACACCATGCAACTGGAAACATAGCCAGTTGCTTGTGATAACAACATGATTTCAATGCCAAAACTAAGTAACTAATCTTACATTGTGCCTCATGCAAATGAAAGTTGTAATAGTGATGATTAAGTGATAACAATAATCAAGAAATTATTTATAAATGTCTCCTTGCTTCCCAACACATGCAGTGCATGCATTTTTAGAGGGAGGAGGAGGGGAGTGTGTGCATGGTGGTTTGTTGAGATGAGTTATAACTACTGTAAAAAAATGCACAACAAGTTTCCTGGGACTTACCTATGTTCAACAAAAAGTGGTAAATACCTTTTCTGCATGTTTTTAGCCTTCGAAGATTCAACACCAAATTTCTCTCTCCTGTTATATTAATCTGTATCATCATTTGGGCTGTGCCTGATTTAGTTCCTTTACATGTCATATTAACACAAAATTCTGCAAAAAAAGAAAGAATTATTCACCTTACCCACAATGCAGTTGATAATGCTGACTCTGTAACAAAGAGAACTGGACAGTATTTTCATTAAAGCTCTCAAGTTGATATGCTGGCAAAGAGTGAGACATCACAGGTATCACCTCCCTGGGAGAAAAGGGGAGGGGTGGGTATGGGGACATACCCCCCCAGAAAAATGTGAAAAATTCAAATTAGCTGAGTAGTATGTTCCTTTATTCTGAACAAGAATTTCCACAGCTGGAAAGTACTTCAAGCAGGCACATGGGGAATAAGGAGTACACTATAGTTAAAAGGATAATAAATTTTTAAAGGGAATTTCAATAAAGCAGCAATAAAGTTTTCTAACTTAAAATCAACAGTTTAATTCAGAAACCTTTAATGTGTGAGAAAAATTGGCTTTGGTGTGAGAACTTAGGACTGAATTTGTTTGTATGAGTCTCATGCTCCATGTGTGAGACTTGAGAGCTCTGCTTTCATTCTTGACTAACAAACCGGATCAATATACAGCAATTAACTAGTGCCTTCAAGACATAATTTAATATATTCTTACTTGTTCAAGAATAATTATAGGGTTGCCTAGAAAATTCTCATCATGAGATTGCACCACTTTGAATCAAGAATTTTTTATCATAATAATCAATTTGAGACTGTGAGTGTTCCCAAATTAAGAATACAAAAGAAAGGTAAAAAAAATTGTCCCAACTAAAAGACAGAAAAACTATTTAAACTTTCTCCAGTTTAGCAAACAGCAATCTGCATGATAACTATCCATATTTTGGCTTTACTTGGCTCAGTTTAAGCCATTTAAGCCCCAAGTATCAATTGAGAAACCATATGCATAAATTTCTGTAAGGAACTGTAGGAGTTCAATTAAAGAGGCAAATCAAAGAGAAAAGTATAAATTGCTTGATCAATTTTATCTTCAAAATTTACAAAAGCGATATCTCATGTGGATTAAAATTTGGGAACTTTGCAAGTTATGAGGCTTCAATCGTATAAAAATCATTTCATCATTTGAGGCAGAATATCTATTTAATTACAGGACTGATTACAAAGGAATCTTAATACCCTTAAGGCCACATCAGAAGACATAAATAAAAATATTTAGAAAGGTGTGCTTTACTCGGGATGATTTCCATTAGTTTCTAATATTCCCATTCGTTTTCGTGGGTGTCAAACTAATGAAAATTTAAATGGCAATGTGTGAGTTGCCTCCCAGTCTTATCTTTTAAATCTCACAAACCAACACGTTTAAACAAATAGCACTTCGCTTCACTCATTCAGTGACATGCGATCAAACGCGACATCGTACACGAATTTTATGCTTTCTACGTTTTAGTTCATCTTTCTGAAGCAAACTGAAACATCTAAAAAAGCTCTCAAGTAAAGCATCGAATAATAAAAGTGCACTTTGGGGGAAGAATTCTAAAGGATCAGAGATGAGCTCAGAGTTCTTAAAATGTCTCGTATTACACTATGTAATCTCGCGAATGTTTTGTCGATGAAAATCATTTAGAGATTCTGAAACACTGAACTTGTCAACATGCCAGGAGAAGGCATAGTTTACCATTTAAAAGTGACGAGGGTCGTTCAAGAGATTGATCAAACATGCTCAACTGTTGTTTTTTTTCAAAGTTAGGTGAAATTACGTTTTCATCTTTTGTGTTAGTAATTAATTGGTTATAAGTTATTTCCTAGCCGCGCGCCTTATCGCTGAAAGCACTACACGTCGAGGAAACTTTATACTTCAGAGAATTGGTAGCATTCTTTCGCTTAGAACCTCATGCATTTCTGAACAAATGTCAACCTTTATAGAACATCTTAAGTATGCCGACTGTACATTGATATATTTGTGTGCCGCGAGTTTTATCGAAGTGTTTGCGACGTTTTAAGGACGATTGATCAATGATTCAAAACTAACCTTTCTTAGTTTCTGGGATTTTTCCATTCCCTTTGATGTTTACTGAGGGCTTCATCAGAAGATCAGGAGTAAACGATGCTAATTTTAAAACGTAGGAGTATCTCTGAAAAAGAAATGAAGGGTTATCATTGAGTTGTGCGCAAAGGACAAAAGTAATTCTAGGGCAGCGTAACAAAAATCATAACATGCAGTTACTAGCGGCTAGATATACAACCAGGCAAAAAGCGGAAAAAAAGAATTGTTTCAATTAATATTCAATAAAACTCAAAAGCTACACTTAAGAGGTTCAATGATGGTCCTTCAAGCCACGGAAAAGAACGTGTAAGGAAAAAAAACTTTACTCAATGTGGTCGCGCGAAGGAGTGTGTCATCTGCAGCAGAAATAATCGCGGAAAACAGTAGGCTTCACGTGGCTAGTTTTAGAGACTTCGGAAAACTTTTAACAGATCTACCTTTTAACAAACAATTTAACACAATGGCACAAATTAAAAACTTACCGCAGAATTTAAAGGAAATCGAGTAGAGTACCATATAAATCGCAAGCAGTCTACTCGCGAAGGGACGGTCATAATGAAGTTGACTGCATTGATTTTTACTTCGCCATCTCGTATGTAGTATATATCACCCTCAATACCTGCCCAAGACAAGAACAACAGAGAGATTTCGGTTGGATTCTGCATGAATTGCATGACTCTGAGAATTTCGTTATTATCGATCGCTCGACCACCGCGGCAACCCACCGAGAATTCTCTTTGACTCCGTACGATTTATGTAGAAGTTGAGAGAGGATGAAGCCGTAAGAACAAGGTTTATAAAGGTGAATGTAATTAGAAGTAGCCCTGAGAAATTCATCGTCTCTTCACAATCACCAGAAGTTTCTTTAAACGGCAGACATTGGCACGATAAATATTAGATCTCGTTGGATTGATACTCCTAAGAGGCTTTGTGACAACTTTAGAAATGTTTGTGTTGGGCTCAAAAGAACAAAAGCCTTTGTGTTAGAGCCAATCAGCGTTGTCGGTGCAAGCGAAATTTATTCGAAGTAAAATTCATCCAGCTGGTGAAAGATTTCCTCACTAATCTTGGCTGAAACTTTCCAATGTTCTATAAAGAAACAAATCTTTTCAAGAACCTCTCGTGTCACCGAGAACAGATCCCCGCAATGTTCTAAATGCGTCGTATACAGCTTTTTTCAAACACGAAGAACTTTCTGCAGACCTAGCTTTCTTGAGATATACTGTGTGGGCTCAGGCTCTTCTTTCCTTTTCGTTTTGATTCAGTGCGATTTCTACATTTTTTAAAACTAATATATAATTTTGGGCAGTACTTGCATGCACCCGTTCTCTTTTATTGGCTATCGAGTGGAACCTGGAAACGATAAGATTTTTCCTAAATTCGTTCCCAATTTTCTCTTCACTCCTAAAATTTCGTGGGAGCTCGACGGAGGTACACCGTTAACATGTGGAAGCTGACGAGATTATTTTGCATTTTCTCGGTCTCTCCTCGGTGTAGCTCCTCCAGATGCCATTCATCGATTACAAGACAAGATTTTGGCAGATACTTTGAGCAAGTTGTTGCTGAAAGTTTGAAGAAATACTCATTTGATGTAACTACTTGCGGTGGACCCAGAGACAGAGGTATTGATTTTAGAGGGGCATGGCTTTTGAAATCGTCCCCTGTGCGTGTTATTGGGCAGTGTAGGCGCCACAAGCGACGCTTAGGTCCAAAGCATGTACGTGAATTGGAGGGTACTTTGAGTCATGAAGTGAAAGGAACTCTGGGTATCATCGTGTCAGAGAGTGGGTAAGTAGGAAATTAATTGTTAGCAGGAAGATCCTAGATCTCTGGGGTATGTTCTTTGTTCGGCGGGAGAGCGTCGCCACATTTCTCATCTGACACTGATTATCGTGCCTTTGAAGATTCTCCAGCCGATGCTGTTTTAGACTAAAGAGGCTCAGCTGGTTTGGGTTTTAACATTGACACAAGTTCATGTAACAAGTGTGAGTGTGTATGAGAAGGGAGATGGGGTCTGATGGTTCATGGGATCTCTCTCTATCTTGTGAGAAAGTTTTTAAGATTTTCCTCTTTTGATACAAAGCCAAATCTCTGCATTCCCTGAATGCTAGTTTGATGTTACATGCCTCGTAACTGTACAACTGAACTTTGTCAGGTACGTATAAAAGCACAGTTATAACTGTGACCCTTTTGCTAATTATCTACTGTCTTAGATTGAGGACAAAAATATTAAAACAGGTAAAGGTTTCATGTTACACAGTAGTATAGTCTCTCAGAAGCAGTCCCCCTATCCTCCCAGAAGATTCACAGCACCCACTTTTTTTGTAGGATGGAGTGAGATACTGTGAGAGTTAACCCTCTAACTCTCAAGATCTGATGCTTAATTCTCTCCTCTAGTTGCTACATATTCCCTTGTAAATTAGTTTCAAGAATGTGGTGTTAGATCAAGATGATAACTTCTACCTGATAAGTCTGAGTAATCTCCTTACCTTTTTGCTGGATAATGTATGGATATTATGGGGAGAAGTTATGTTTTAATCTCTTCTAGGAGTTAAAGGGTTAAGTGTCTTGCTCAAGAACACCACAAAGTGGCTGCAAGTGAAGCTAACAATTCACTTTTATTGTGGAGTCCAGTTTGCAAACCAATGATTCAATTTGTCTTTACACAAAATAATATTAGACTGGCCACTATCAAGGCTAGAGTGGCTTATTGTTAATCTGATTTTTATTTCCACAGTTACAGCAAAAGTGCCTATGAGGTTTTCATGGGTTCTCCTTATCCTGTTGTCCTTACAACATTAACAGGCTACAGTGATGATTTACTTCAGTGGTATTTTGATCAAGAAAGTCATGAAAACAATTGCAACAAAAGTCAAGATTTTGCAGATTGTAATTCATACAAAAATGTACAGTATCCAAAAGCGGATGATTCTTTACCAAGTGACATCAAAACACTGGACAACTACAGACAGAATTATTTGAAAATTAATAAGATGGATGGAACTGATCATGAAGAGGTAGAATTTTTTCATGAAAAGTCAGTACAACGAGAAGAAGATAGGAATCTTGTCAACAAAGATGAATCTAGGGGGTTAGCAGAGTCAGCCATATACTCAATCCCTCATCATTATGGTTCCTCTGTGAGAACAGGGATGGACAATGAATTATTGGTGAACAAAGTTGGGAAAATTGTTAGGGATGGTGAAAAGTTAACAAACTCTGATTTTCTTGATTTGGGTCAAGGACAGTTTACTATGTTTGAGTTAAATCCAGCTGCAAGAAAGTTATTGCCAAATGTGGTAGTTGGTTTGGAGTACAGAATGCAAAATTCTAGAACACCTGAACTTTTCTTGCATGAAGACAATTCATTTGTTAATTTACCAGATCAATAATAGTAATTGTACTGAGTGGACTGCAATTTTGTCTGAAATCAAGTGCATGACTTCAACATTAAATGAATGTGCAGCACAAGTTTGATTAGAAATCACAATGATTTCAGATGAAAATTGAGCAATGTGAAATTAAATTGCCACTTTATTACATTTACTTTAAAAGTACAAAACTCAGTCACTCAATACAATTGAGTTCTCAAAGTTGTCTCTCATTTTCCTGCAATTTGATTAATTACTCTAATTTCTTTAAACAAGCCCTGAAATTTGATTGGTTGTTGTTTTAGTAAAGCTGAGTCATTTGCTGGGAAAAGGTGCAATTTAGAACATAAAATGGTGCAATTTGTGAATAAATTGCACCTGTTAGAGCCAATCAGATTGCAAGGATCACAAGTGATTTTAAAATGGATGTAATAAAATGGTAGAGAGTTGAACCTGTATTATGTGGCACCATGTTAAGTGGTCACCCTGTATTAAGTGGTTTGTTGTCAAAGTCCCAATTTTAATTTCCCTTTGTTACAGTAATTTTCACCTATTTTGAGCAGTGAACTCTATCAAGTAGTTGTGGTCACCCTTAACTAAGTTGCAACAGCCTGTTTGTATTGTCTTCCACCTGTAATGAATGGTCTCCTAAAACAAAACCACTCAAATAAAGCTATAGGAAGAATAATTCATGTGAAATTTAATCCATATTTCTCTCCCAAATCAATGTTAGTAGTATTTTGAGGGATTTTTAGTACATTTAGTGGTCAATTTGGTATAAAATGGTATTATTTATCATTATTGATATTACCCCTCTTTTGTAGAACCTGTATTAAGCAGTCAACCTATATAAACACAGTTACCCTGGACCATTCCCTATAAGTGACCGCTTAACCCTTTAACTCCCAAGATCTATTTGGTAATTCTCCTTAAAGTCTGCCATACAGTTCTTGTGGTGTTAGTTTGGAGAATTTAGGATTGGATCAACTTATAATCCCCCAATTGATGTTTTTCTTTATTCTCCTCACTTGTCTGCATGGTATTGTATTTATATTGTTAAGAGAACTTCTGTCTTGGTCACTTATGGGAGTTAAAGGCTTAGTACAGGTTTGACTGTATCTTGTAAATTATGGACTTCAGTAGAGTATTCACCACTGTCCTTTCATGCCCATTCAAAGAGGATTAAACGACTGACACACATGTATACAATGAGTATCACAAGTAAACTCTTGCAGATCAACCAGGTCTCTTGTTCTTAACAAACATTAAGCATATTTGAACTCTGAAAGTAAAGGGTTAAACTGACTAGACAACAAAACTGTTATAGAAACTTGATCAAAAGTGTGATGATGCAGTGGTTCATGTATATGACTTTCATATATTCATAGACACTTATTAATCACTTCAGGGGTTTATTTGAAAGCAACACAATGACCAGCTCCCAGTTGGCTTGTTTGCTGACAGTTGATAGAGCACTGCACCAGTATTGCAGAAGTCATGGGTTCAAATCCCGTACAGGCCTGAATTTTATTTAGGCCTTATTTTAACTACTGCTCAGGTAATGTTCATTACTGCAAAGATCGCTTTCATATTCAAGCAGTGGTCTCATTTAGGGCTGGGCACTATGTAAATAAATTTTCTGTGTATTTGACTGAGCCCAGCTGCTCTCGAAACCTCAACAATAATATAAAGTGTAAGTAACCATTGTCATAGTTACCTTTTTTGTTGCTAAAAAATTAATGTATTTGAATTAAATGGATATAGATAATTCATGAGTGAAAGATTGTGTGCTCGCATTAGAAAACTAATATATTTGTTGATTGATGCATCAAATCATAATTTGCAACTGATGCATATTCCATTTAGTTTCCTCTCCAAAATGTGAGAAAATGTATCCCTGACCCAAGGTAAAACCTGGATTGAACTTAACTTATTTACTCAGCTTCCAATGGAAGGAAATCATGACAGAAGGATTCAATAAGAAATCTGGTCAAAACTATTAATGTAGATATATTTATATTTTTAAGAAAGATTTTAAGTTCCCTGTAACTTATCTATAAAGTGCTTTAGTTCCAAATCATAGAGAGGCTTCCCCTGTTCCAAGGGTTACTGAAATCCTTAACTATAATGACAATAAACAGGTAGCTTGTACGCTATTATAGCTAATTCATTTCTTTTGTACGCACTAGAGTTTACAGGGAAACACTATCTAAAAACTGTTGTCTCAGATTGAAGAGCATCCAATTGAAGATCGCTAGTCCAATTTTCAAGCATGTAATACATGGCATGACAACTCTGGACCCCTTTTAGGTTGCCACTACTCATTTTGTAGTTACTTTATTGACTGAATAATACAATTTTTCTCCATGTTGGCCTAGGAATGTTCAGCCAATTAACATAGTTATAGGCAATGTTTCTTTATTTCCTCAAAATGAAAAAGGTAACTTATTTGAAGCATTGATTAAATTTGGTGTATTATGCTATTTGCATTTGGTTTTCTAGGAGACAAGCACTACTTGCACTAGAGCAAATTTGGAAAGATCAAGGTCAACAGTGTTGGTCAGTCAACAACTCTGGTGGAATTTTTCAAAAATATTTTGTATCCAAAGTTCAGTGCTTAAATTAAGTATTAAAGGATGGTTGATTATTTCAAGATGAGATAATTATAAAATTGAGAGTGAACTAAATTTTGAGGAGATTTCTTTTCTTATATCTTATCCATCTACTTAAGTGAAATACTTTTTCAGATATGGGAAGCTCTGTACAGAATTGGATCTAATAATATTGCCACAAGTGCTGAAAAAAAGAAAGCTATATATAACAAAATTTCTTAGTTATCATGAAAAAGTTTAACCCTTTACACCCTAATATCAGTATGCATATTCTCCATCGTGTTCATCATACATTTCTCAAGGTGCTGATGAGGAGAATTTGTTTAACAATCAAGAGCTTCTTTAGTTGGTGATCATTTCCTTTATCCTTGTGACTTTAATGTGTGATTCAGAGAAGATATTGTAAGGAGAAATTAGATGTTAGTCACTCAGCATGAGAGGGCTAAAGGTGAAAACTTGAATTGAACTACGTCTTAACTCAGCTTCTAATCAGTAGGAGAATTACAAATAGAAGATTAACTAGTAAATCTGGTTTAAACTAGTAATGTAAATATAGTTATGTTCTAAAAGATGATCCGACTTCCCTAAAATTTTGTCTCAGAAATTTCACACCGATTATCAGTTTTCCAAAAATACCAGTATTTTGATGGGAACAAGTGGAAACGGGAAATGAAACAGAGAAATGTTGGCGTCCCAGCAATATAATTTTATATCAGTTCACACTAAGTTAACACAAGTAAAATACGCGACAAGCTCCTAGACTAAAAATAAATTATAAAAAGCGCCTTGATTACGTAAAATAAACAGAGCATAGAAAGGGTCTTCGTAATTACATTAACAAAAACTCTTTTCAGAAATCGATTTTACTTTGAAAGGCACCACCGGATGAATTAAAAACCATCCTCAAGAAGTTACTTAGCTCTGGAAAAATTTGAAAGGAAATCGTCAAACGGGAAAAATTAAATTTAGAAACGGTAATCACTGAAGTAGAGTGAAATATGTTCCCCCTTTAGCCTTTGGTTCCGCTTATTGCTTCCTACGCCTCCCCCGCGCGGAATTATTATGGTCAGCGGCTGTTAAGTGTGAGGAAAACAAAAAAGACTACGTGGAAGTTGATGGTGTGAAGCAGCTGTTAACGAAAAATCGACCCTGAAACTGGACTTTTTCTTGTTCTATCTATTATAAGACTATTGATACTTGTCTACTCGACATTAGAGACCGCGTTCGTGTTGTTATGACGAATCTCAAATCCGTTAGTCGAGCCGAGACGTCGACCATCTGAAAGGTGCTTTTCATATTTTCACGCGGCGTCCGAAGTTACATCTTGTAAAGACTAAGTGGTTTTATTTTAAAAAGTTTGCCTCGGAACATAGGACTTAAGGATATAAGTATATATCCTATGTTGTGATGTCGGCAGAGGTAAAGAAAATGCCTTCTCAAGAAGTAACTGGAGGAAGCAAGATCGAACTTCGCACTTCGTCCGGTACAGTCATTTGTTTGAATTTCTCAGAGGAGGACCAAGTGCTGCCGAAGATTGTTCGCCTCGTCGACCCAGACACAGATGACACTGCAGTTTTCCGGTCGGAAGATGGAGTTTATCACGAGCTAGATTCAGACTCTGCTGCGAACTTGCAAGAATTTCAACACATGAATCATTGTCACCATTGCAACTGCAGCGATGGGAACGAACAATCTTCAAACACGAATACCGATGTCCGTAAGGGAGACGAAAGGGGTGATAAACAACGAGAAAAACTACAAAAGATACTTCGGGAAAGGAAGGCGAACAAAAAAGAGGATGAAAATTGCAATGGCCACTGCCATCAGATAATTCAACTGCCGATACAAGGATTGAAACAGTATGTACGAGTTAATTCATCCCAGATGAATGGTGAACACAAAACGAGCCCTTCTAAAGACGGTAATTATAGCAAGGCTATAATCCTTGCGTTTTCGATTTAATTGTTAGATAAAGTATACAAAGTTCTTTGATCGAGGCTACTTTGAAACAGAAAACGCGGGTTATTGCTCACAAACTTCTGTTTTTAATTTTGGTTTGTTTTTTTTTCTTCCGTGGGGGTTCGAATTTTTTCCATAAGGTTGTGTAGACAAGTTTTCGTCAACAGAGGCGATATTTCTTGTCCTTTCGTGATAACGACAATCATTTTCTTAACATATTGAAAATTCGTCCTGATTTTTTTTGGGGGGAAAATTACTTCTTGTGTGTTCCATGATTGACCTTGTTTTCTTTTCCATCACACTGAAAGGACAAAAATAGACCCACACAGGATGATGTAGCGGACGCTACAAGTGGCGAGGATGAAAGCTGAAAGAAAGTGCTAAATAAATGGAACTTTAATTTTTTTCTTACTTTTTCCTTCATCTCTTATTCGTCCTTTTTTTCGATCAATAGATTCTTCACCGGAATCAAAGCCAGTCAAAGGTATTCATACGAATATGTCTTTATTTAACGTCTTTGGTTTATATTTCTAAATATTTTCGTCAACAAACAGACTATAAGTTATAAATGATCATGGTAGAAGCTAGTACTACCTGTACCATGGATCACATGCCACAAAGACACGCTTGAAAGAAATCAACCAAAAAGTCCCTTTGTTCTACATATGTTTAATTAAAGTGCCGGGGGGAATTGGTTAAAAATAACTTAAAAGAGGAAGAAAACATTCCTGTCCCCTTCTCCTAAAATACAATTCTGTCATTGCCGAACAGACTCTTTTTTTCCTTTGAGAGAATATTCATGTATGCTATAATGAAAATTATTAGAGGTGGATGTAAAAATAGAAGTTGGAATATTGTTGGTTTTTCCATAATACATGTACATGCACATGTAAATAACAGCAGAAACATATCAGTTTACGTAAATGATATTTTTGAAATGCCCTATATCACTTTACAGTCGAGTTTTTATAATTTTTTTAGAAGGTTCTTTGGAAAATTGAACATACATAATTTTTTACATTTTGATTTACAAGGAACAAAAATTAGTCTGACCATTTGATACATAACGGTATAAACAGATAAATTATAATGTTGATAAATTTTGTGGAAAATTCCAAACATTTAAATTTATCTCACGATTTAAATGCTTGTGTTTGTCAAGTCTTAGTTTTCTCTATAAGAAATGATAACTTCCTTAGCACGTAACATATTTCTGTTTGAAGTTTTTTGCCATAGCTACTAAGTGGTCCTTACTGTAAAATTAATCTAAGTATGGGGTAATTGTCAAGCTTCCTCACCCTCGAATCAAATGTAAAAGTCATGAGAATGGAGTAAATGATCACCAATTTTAGAAACTTCTGATTGTCAATCAAATTCTCCTTGCCACTATCGTAGAAAATGTAAAGAGAACAGTGTGGAGAAGATTAATACTAATTAAATATTATAGTGTAAACAGTTAATTCCTATTCGGCTTTACCTTTAGTTGATGTTTTCGCAACAACAGTAATATATTGGGTATTACAGTAAATTTTTAAGTCAATGTGATCAGGCTAATGTTAAAAGATATGGTGAGTTTAAAAGTATTTACGACTTACAGCTGATCTTGGAGCAAGTCAGTTTCACCCACTAATTGTGTTCTACTCTTTCTAATATAAGCTTACTAGTAATAAGCCTCTTAGGCTTATTAACTAAAATGATATATGCACCTTTAATGTGATAACAGTACCACACACCAGATTGGATTTGATTGTGTTGGGTAAATGGTTCCTGGGAGATCTAAGTCAGAATATAAATATTGCCAACTTTACCTGATACAGGTAGCCAACATTGTTAAATACAATGTAAAAAAATTCATGTGCTGTTACTTTCATTTTGAATGGTTTTATGCAATGGGATTTAAGCTTGAAATATGAACTCCAACATGACACTTGACTGTAGCTTTGTGTTTGAGAAATCAAATTTAAAACAAAAGTTACATTCAGTTTTTGATCATGGACAGTAGAACAGTTTAGGTTATTGCTAATACATGTGTATACATGTAACTGTGAGATTTGTTTGGCAACAAATATTGTGCTTAGGGTCTTAAGGGTTTTTTTCTTTTAGTTTTTGGGATGGCTTAGGGATCTTCTACAATAAAAAATGTGAATTATTAACCAAATATATCAAACTAAGGCTCCATGTAATTTAATGCCTTGTATTTTAAAATTTGACCTTTTAGAGCAAATACTAATTAGGGCCCACAGTTTATCACAAGGCTAAATTGTTACAGTTACTATATTTGTGTGTCAGAGAGCTAAATATATTGTGCTGACCTTATCAGCAGATTTAAGATTTTCAGATAATTGTATTTTATACTGGGCATCATCTCTTTTTTTCATTGAGTTATTTTTAAAAGAAATCAAAAGAGTTTGGCTTTTTTAATTGAAAACGATTATTCTTTTCATTTTTCTTTTTTTTTTTTTTGGGTAGTCTGGAAATCACTCCTTTGTAAAGTGGTTGTGCAGCTGCCTTGTAAAAACATACAAATTGAATGTTATGACCATGAGTCTGTTTCCATAGTGCTGTAGGTGCATAAGATATACTGCAAATTATTATGCAATCAAATGACATGACAAGAATCCTCAAAAGTGGATTAAATGTTTTTAGTTATCTTCTTTAGCTGTTAACAGGGATTTTTAGAACACTTTTTTTTTTATATTCTTAATGAATTTATAAAGAAATGTTTTGTCCTAATTATAAAAGGTACTAATTGTACAATATTTAATAACCATTATCTTAATGTTATCATTTTAATACTTCTTAAACAGATACTTTAGATAGATAGAAAGGCAGATAAAGTGGATACCATGTTGTAAGCTTTTTTCAGAATATTTCTCCTAGAGTACATTGAATTGTTAAAAAGGGAATTTTTTAATATGATAATAAAAGAGGAGGGAATTCAACTTTCAATGTTAATTCTTCTACTGCTGCTATGTAAAGATGAAATGATATTTGATCATATATTTTTAATAATCATTCCATTAATTTCTTGCCTGTATCAATTTTCTTACAACAGGGAAAAATATGTTAGAGGAACTTAAGATTCACAAGGAACCAGATGTAAGTAGCTGTTTTTGTTATTATCAATAATGACAATAGTGACAGTTCTTAGGGTGTATTTTATAAGTCTCAAATTTGATTGCTCTCTAAAATTGAATAGAAATGATTAATTCAAACAAATTGGAATTAAACACAGTAAATAGACATGAACACAGTGTTCAAGAACCCCAACTGGCCAGAGGTAGGCTTAAGTTGGCTATATGCAAAGAGCAGCCAAGGAATTGAACTCAGGGAAAGTGAAAACAAAGCCAGTGTGTGGCATGGCTTAAGGCTTGAATAGTAGTAACCATCACAATCTCACACATGAAACTTGTTCAAATCCTAGATTGAAGTTGTAAACTGTACGACTGTCAAGGTCTCTTGGGCTGGACAAGTTAGCAACAACAGCCACCTTAATGGGTGCAGTTTTGATCTACAAATGTTCTCCAAGGCATCACCATATAGCTCTATTTACAGGTATTCTACATTTTTGTTTTGACATGTGAAGTTGCTAATAAAAGAACAATTCAACAGACTAAAATCAAATTAAAGTGGTTTTGGACTACTTGACATGTGACTGTGCATAAACTGTTGCTGGTGACCATTTTAGTGTGGATAAAGTTTTGTTGGCTAAATTTTCAAGGGTAGGGGTTACACTGATGACCTTGATTTAACATTCATGTAGCAGGTAGTAACTTCTTCTTTACTACCTCTGTTACTATTATTGTCACCTTAAAACAACATATAATCAACACTGCTACTTTTACTTTTACTGTCCACTGAACTTGATGATGATAAACCCCTTATTTGTTGACTAAAATAGAAAGCTGGTCCCATCACAATTCAAAAATCCCTTTACTCTACATTTTTCTCCTCCATCCCCTTCCCATTTAAAATGATTTATCCCTGAATTGTCAAAAATACACTTTTCAAAAGCCTGTGTAGAGTTGCAAGAAAGTAAAGATTAAACAAATGAAAGATACATGTATGGTCTGTGGTTGCTTCTTTCTCCTTTTGGTTGTCTGATATACATGTATGTGTATGTCACTTAGATTTTTAATTTTTCTCTTGAAACTAAGTTTTTCTCTCTTTTTTTTTCCTGGCAACCATTCTATGGTTTTTGATTGTTAAACAGCAACTCTGAAAAATCTTGAGCTTGTTGCACTGTAGATGGGTGTTGCATTGTTTCACTGTTACCAAAAATAGCTACACTGACTATTGAACATGTAACTGATCATATAATTTTTCCGTTTTCACTTGTAGTGGTTCAGATAAAGAGTTTATTGTTAAGGAACTCAAACCAGGAACACAGTATAAGTTTAGGTAAGTGCTGTGTTAGTGTTGTGAGTTTGAATACCAGTCAAGAAACTTGGCATGATACACAGAGAGAAGGCATGTGTGTAAAATTTGCGGAAAACAGTGAACTCTTCTTTTTAAGTCTTCTGGGTTGCAATGTCCTGTTGAACAACTAGAAAATATTTCAAAAGGGAAATGTCAAATTGGGTGAGTTTTACAGTGAAAGAAAACTCTGTTTATTTTTTTTTCTGTAATGCAGAAAATTTACTCGGAGACCAGTAAGGGAGACTTTTTTAAGGCATTAATTCAGGACCATGAAATGTTGAGTTTTTTTTTTTATTTATTTACAGATTACAGGCTGAAAAGGAGGGTGACAAGGGAGATTTCTCTCCTGAAGCTCTTTGTGATATGCCCTGTTCAGTTCCATCCACACCTAATCAGCCTCATGTTGGAAATAAAACAAAGACAAGCTTTACTATTAAATGGACGGTCAGTCTCCTAAAATATTTCCTATTCTTATTTGATACATACATATAAGTTTTGATTTGAAATGATTTTCATAAGCTCTGATCTTGTTCAAATTCCCATAAAAGAATTACTTTTATTATTAATAATAATTGTGACGTCACAGTTAAGACCTTGATTTTTAACTGTCAGTGTCTGGGCTGAAATGCATGACAGTACACATAACACAATCCTGCTTGATCCTCTGAGCATGGAAAATGAGAGACACCACAGCAATTAAACTTAGTTTTGTTAAAACAATTGTCACAAAAGGTACACATCACAGTCTTTCAAAATTAAACAAATTACAAACAATAAACTTGACAAAATTTTGCTCTATTATCCAAGATTAACAAGTGTACAGTGAAGATTGGGTGTGAGGTGGGAGTGGAAGTTACGAATTTAATGTATTTTGTGCAAGAGCTGCATTTCATTACTGCTGTCTCAGCAGTTTTGCCTGAGACTGGATCTGTGTGTTGTATGATCTTCAATGTCTCCTTTTTCCCCAACCCACTCTGCTGTCCCCCAGAAGAAATAATCATATCTTGCATGTTATGGCCGGAAAAAAAAAACAAAAAAAACTTAGCTATGGTAACAGTCAGTAATAATTTTTCCTTAAATTTTTCTGATGTTCAGACAGTTAACGTATTTGTGTTCATGTTGGCTCTAGGCACCATCAGACAATGGTTCCCCAATCACATTATACAGACTGGAATGGAACAAGGGTGAGAAGGGGGGTCCCTACACTGAGTGTTACTGTGGGTCCCAGAGACAGTTTAAACTGACACATAAACTACCCCCTGCCACACCTTGTTCATTCAGACTTCAAGCTGTGAATAGCATAGGAGCTAGGTGAGTGCTCTTAACTTTTTCATATCCAGGATTTCAATAGTTGTTCTCCTTACTGTCTGCCATACAATTCTTATGATGTTAGTTTGGAGAACTTGGTATTGAATCAACTAATAAACCCCTAATTGTTCCCTCTAGTAAAGGTCTGAGGGTATTAAATTTTTGAATTGGAGTGAATGTGGAAATTCAGTGAGCAAGATGGTAGAAGTGAAGATAATTTGAAAAGTTTATTTTGTGATTGATTGGCTTAATCTAAATAAGTAATATAAAACTGGCCATTGAATAGGTGCTACAAAGAGCAGTGAGCCCATCTTTCATGAAGAAGGATGACATTACTTTCACATTTACCAACCAAATACAGTTGCTGGTAAAAAAAAAACAACAACAACAACACAAAAAAACAGGTATTTGTTGCAGATGCATTCTCAAGCTGGACTGTCATCTCTATCCAGAAGGGGAAGCAATAATCCTGTAAGTTAAACTTTGTGCACAACATTTAAAAAACTTTGATTTGTATGAATTATTTCTTTACAGTAAATTCAGCAAAGATTTGAAGTGTGTCACCAGTGCAGGAGCACCATCTTCACCCTCCCCTCCCACACTAGACAAAGCAGGTGTCAACTTCCTGAATCTTTCTTGGAGTAAACCAGAATCCAAAGGAGGTGAATAATTTTTTTCATCCCTTTTATCTAACATGACATTCAGGTACAATAAAGCTTCTTCTTTTTCCCTGTCCAAATTAAACATTTTGTGCCATACATGATGGCTGAATGGTGTTGAAAGTTAACTGCTTTTGTGGTGTATTTAAGTTTCTCGGTCAAATATGAGTATAGAGTGATTTTTTTTAAATTTGTTTTTTCTTTTAGCTGAAATATCAGAGTATTTGTTGGACATGGAGGATGGTAGTACTGTAAGTTTCTTTTCAATAGTATTTATTATAAGGGGTAATTTTCAAGGTAGAAACTTGGCATAAAAAAGCTTTGTTTGTGGTAAGCATGGAAGTAATGAGTCTTAAAGCATGATATAAAGTAAATTTTTGGGGGTCCTTTTACTATACAGCTTAAGTTTTCTATTACTATTGTTCCAGGGCTATGGTTTCCGTCCGGCGTATAGAGGAACTGAAACGACTTGTGTGATTGATAAGCTTCAAAGAAATACTTGTTACAAATTCAGGGTAAGGCAAAGACTTTCAAGATTTCTTGATCTTTTTGTATTTAGGTTGGATACAATTTTTATGTTCCTGAAAATTGCTGAATTTAACCCTTTAATCTATTTGTTAGCTTTCCCTTGAAGCTGCTATACATTGCCTTGTAATTTAGTGATGAGTATTTGGTGTTAGATCAGGATGACAACCCGTTCCTGTTAAGTTATATTCTTATTACCTGTTTGGTGGATAATATATGGACAGGACTGGGAGAAGTTGCATTTTAATCACTTCTAGGGGTTAAAATGTTAATATCTATAAAAAATACTTTTGAGAACTTTTTAATTGTGTTAAAGGTAATGTCAAAGTAAAGTAAATTCCACAGAGAGCCAATAAAAACTTGAATGAAATAATTCAGTGATTTAGCTAGGGAAATTGTGAGTTATCGAGTGATGACTGGTTTCAGTTAGTGTTGTATCTGATTCAGTTGGACTAATCATAGGATAAAGTGAAGTGAGCCCAAACTGGGGCAAGTCCAGTATTTAATCATGGGGGTTCAGGGAATTGTTTGCTGAAGGTGAACCCTTGTAGGGGCATACTCCTCTGGGAGATTTTGAAAACTAGGTCTTTAGAAACATGATTCCAGATGATTTGAGGAATGATTTGGGGGTGTGACTAAACCACTCAAGGCACCCCTGGATTTGCCCTGACAATGCAACCCCAGATAACTTGTGATGAGCAGATCATGGATTTACAAACTCATGTGTAACAGTTTGATGTGTCACTTTTTATTAATTCCTGTGCATTTTATCAACAGCTTCTTGCTTCTAATTCACAAGGAAAAAGCAAGTGGAGTGAGACTGTCATGTTTGACACTTGTCCAGAACGACCAGGTAAGTGTACATGAACCAAATAGACCCAGTCAGTATCAACCCTTTAAACCCTAAGAGTGACCAGCATCTAATTTCTCTTTACAGTAATACTGCTGAATCATTCAGTAGGATCATGAGAATAAAGGAAATGATCACCAACCTAAGAAGCTTTGATTGTTAAGTGAATTCTCCTAGTTAGTTCCAAAGGAAATTTATAGCAAATAGTATTGAGAATATAGATACTGATGTTAGGGTGTAAAGGGTTAAAAGTAAGTTTTAAATGGGACAGTGGGATGGATTGTGTATCAAGAGATTTGGGTTTGAGGATATTTTTTGTTTTTCTTATCACATTTCTACCTAACCCTTTATGTTCTCTTTGTTCAGCATGCATATTCTTCATACTGTACTCTATAGATTCCTAAGGTATTTACAAAGAGAATTTGTGTAACAATCAAGAGTTTCTTTAGTCAGTGATAATTTCCTTTCTTCCTGTGACCCTAATGTGCGATTCAAGGGTGATATTGTGGAGAGAAATTAGATGCTAGTCACTCTGAAGGTTAAAAATGTTTTGATGGTGTAAGGAGGAGTCCTGTTTTGGTCACATCTTGGGGTGAAAAGGTTAATGAACTAAGACTTTAAGCCAGGTTGTATTCCTGATCTAAGTTGCTTGCAAAGCATTTGGCCGTCTTGCTTATTAATATAACTAATCCAGGAATCGCCAACAGCTTCCACAAGGCTGACCTTATGTAATTTTTTTTTCCCTTCAGGGCAGCCATCTCGGCCAGTTCTTGAAGGAAAACTTAGATCCTCAGGATTCACTGTTGCTTGGGGTAATTTAAAACTAAGTGATGTGTAGCCATGTACATGTTGCCTCATTATTAAGTGACCTCTCATGTTAACTCAAAAAATACATTCATAATTATGTTAACCACAACTACTACAATTTCCTCAAATATGATTGGGGCATTAGCAGCAGCATTTTTCACTAATTATTCTGTGAAGTTGTAATCAAACAGTGTCATCGGACAGTTGGCTGTAGTCAGACACCTGTAATGGGATAGTTAAAGCAACCAATCATATTAAGTTCACCTGCGTAAATCCAGCAATTACAGAATTGATTACAATAAACATAGCCACAATCATTTACCCCACAAAACTGGAGAATTTTCAAATGGAGAAACTTCTTATTTTAGACATTGTCTCTACCGTAGATGTTTTCTCAAATAGTTGTATTTGTTTTTTGTGGGAAATTATGATTGTTATGATTAATTGGTAACAGGACTTTGTGTCATCCAATTTGTTCTGTAATCAAACTCATGATTGACAAATCAGACTCTTGTGGTGCAGCTGTCTGATTTTGTAGTCACTCGTATGATTACATTCACTCAGCCCTATAACCACTATTAAATGTTTGGTATTTATCATTTATCCCACTGTTATGAACTGTACTTAATCCATTAACTCCTAGAAGTGATTATTATGTAACTTCTCCCTATAATATTCATACATTATCCGGCAAACAGGTAATGAGAATTCTCAAACTTATCAGGTAAAAGTTGTCATCTTGATCTAACACCAAATTCTTGTAAAAAAACACACAAGGAACTGTGTAGCAGCTGAAGGGGAGGATTAACAATCAGATCTTGAGAGTTAAAGGTTTAATGTACATGTACGGATTATTTTATGAACGTAGGGTAAGGAATTTTGATAAGTTTTGTGCCATTTTAGTGCCACCAGAGGACATGGGAGGCTCAGAGATCTCAGCTTATGTGTTACAAGCAGATGATGGTAAAGGTAAGGACTTGTGGGTTATTGAACAACCAGACTTTATAGCAGAAAATCTTCAGAGCATTAGGACATTAAGCGCTAGAAATGTCTGGACCCACAGTGGGAGTGGGATGGTAGAGGAGAGGCTCCTCCCTTATATAAGCCACGTGGGTACGTGAAACTGCCTATAATATGGTTTTAGAGCCATTTTGGTCTGACATCAAGTACAGATTTTGACCAGTATCAGTTGTTATTATCCAACTGCACAAAGTAGAGTACAAAGAACGCGCGAATAGATTACAAGTATCCTGCGATATTGTACGGTTATTTTGACAGTTATGTTGTTCTCTAAAAAGACTTGTTTAACCAGTCGGCTGCGCGCGCTACGCTTCTCTATCCACTTTGCTTTTCCCGCCTTATGAGAAATGAGCAGAAAGACTCCAGAAAAAAGAGCAGTTGGATAATAAATAACTTATTAGATGGTTTGGTGTGTAGTATTACTGAGTATTTTTACTCGTAGTTTGTATTTTACCTCGCCCTACGGCTCGTCAAAATACAGCACAACTCGTGAAAAATACTCAGCGATACTATACACCAAAACGTGTTATAAGATATCTTTATTTTCGTCAAGAAGCCCTTACTCGCCATGAGTAAGGGCAATATGAACATATTTCTTTACCACTCTGTTTTCAGGAGGGCAATTTACGGAAGTGTACAGAGGTCTAGGGTTTGATTACACCTTTACTGGCTTATCTCCTGGACATCTTTTCAGAATTCGCTTAGCAGCTGTTAGCGATGGTGGTACTAGTGAGGTAAGCTTCACAACAGTATTTGATGAAGTCTTGACCTGCTTAGCAGTGGCTCAGTTCCAGAGGGCGCGAGTGATTCTTGCATTGTGGTAATGATGTTCACTGCCTTCATGTTTCCTTTCAGTGGTCCAAAGTGACAGAGATCAGGACCTTACCAGTTGTACCTGGCCAAGCAAACCCTCCAGTCTTATCAAAATCTAACAAACCTCAGCCAAACACACTTGATCTTCGTTGGGGTAAGTTCAGAGGAAAATGTCTGACACGCAGATGTGACTCTTTCACTTACTGAAGTTTTTTATATACTTGTTTGTTTGTTTGTTTTCGGGAGAAGAGTGGGGCCTGGTGGTTAGTGTGCGAGACCTCTTGAGGTCACTGTGTTGTGTTCTGGGGTGAGACATTTTGAATCGAATGTCGGTGTCTGAGCAACTGCGCACCTACCACTCCCCTAATCCAACAACAGCAAGCTGATAACAAGTTGCAGTGGGGTTAAGTAAGGGGAGGGGTAGGTTAGATGTCAGATACTGACATTTCACTCCCTACTGGCACCAGCAAACTAACAAAATTTCGGGTGGTAACCTGCTTGGACTGGGAATGTAACAATAATTAAAAACGAACAAACAAACACAAATAAACGAACAAAACAAAACAAAACGTAGTCTAACTGCTTTCGTTTGACTTTTCTTTTGTAATGTTATATTCCTGCAGAAATGGTTTTTAAGTCGTAGGATGACGCTTTGCAAAATAACAGTCTGAAGGACAATCAAAATATTACCTGCTGTTTCACTTATTTATACCTTAATTGGCTCATTGTAAGTTATTTTGATTTTGCTGTAGATCCACCCAGTTATGATGGGGGTGCTGCTATATTAAGCTATATCATGGAGATGGAAACCCCTGGAACAAAGGGTAAGAAATTCAGTCAGAATGTATTTTTAATGTGATCGTTTGCAATCCTATGTGTCAACTTTCTCCTTCTTTGTCCCTTCTTGGTTAATAAAGGGGGTAACTTTCTAAAGAAACTGTGGTACTGCGTCGGTGGGAGAGTATAACATGGTAATTTAGTGTTATCAGTCGAGTTAAAAAGGCAAATTAGCCATCGTAAAGAGTTTTAAAGGCTATAGTTCTTAAAAACTCGTTACGATGGCCAATTTACGTTTTCAACTCAGTTGATAACACTAAATTACCTTCTAGGTTAACTTTTGTACGGGAGATCAGTCATGACACACCTGTCCAATTGTGATTCTCCTGCGCTTTTTTTAGCAGGCGTCGTCCCTAACCCCATCGAAATCATTGTGAGTTAAACCCCATGAAACACCACCTGTTAGGATTTATCTTGCTTAATTAATGGTGACAAAAATCCTTATGGAGGGTGACTCAGGTGTAACACACACCAGCTGCGCTGTAAAGTTTGTTTATTGTTGTTATGGTTCTTCTAATTACATTTTCAGAGTTCAGAGAGATCCACCATCTTTGCGACAATATGTGTACGGTAGCAGGACTTCTTCCAGGAAGGACGTACTCTTTTAGAGTAAAAGCAAAGAACAAGGCTGGGGTAAGACACAATATTTCAGAACTTCTTTCAACTTTTCTCAACTTTAACACTTTCTTCCAACCGCTAGATTCGATTTCTAGACCCGACGTACATTTGGGTTCAGTTTGATGCTGGTTCTCGTCCTTGCTCCGATACTCTCTGTTCTCCGATTTTCTTCCTCCCACAAAAACCTAAAAACCAAATTCCAATTGCGCCTGGAAACATCGGACGAAAAGCACTGGAAAGGACTTTAGTTTGAATGCTCAGTGGCCTCCTCATCCTTTACTCTTGACTTGGATGTCTTCTTTTCATTCGATGATGGTTCAAAATGGCTTCATATTTCAAGCCTGTTCTTTCCTTCGCTTCTCTTTTTTTCGTGTGTAATCGCTGTCGTACGAAGCAGACTCAGAAATCTTTCTTTTCATTGTCGACAGGTTGGCAAGGTGTCAGCAGTATCTCACATAACCACTGCACCAGGCTCCCCTGACACCCCAAGAGCGCCGGACACCTTATGCCGCTCGGCTGCAGCTATCATCGTGTCCTGGGAAGTAAGTGATAAAGTTGCATCAAGTGCCTTTTCGATTCATAAAATTGTTTCGGTAAAGCATTTCCAAGCTTAATTAAAATGAACAACGATGGAGGATTTATTGGCAATCAGTGCCAAATGCTAAGCAATGAGGTTTACTGTTGTAACCAATTATGCTCAGAAAACGATCATGATAAAAAGAAATTTTCAATTAAGTGTCGAGGAAAATCTGCCAAGATTGCTTTGGTACTGCTTTACGTCGTTCTGTGATTGGTCCAGAAAACTCGCGGCACTCTCTTAACCAATCATATGCAAAACTAAAACCAGTCACGATTTGGTCGCCCGCGTTTTCCCGTGCTTTAGGGAGTTTGGTTGTTTCTACTTTGAGTTCTGGTTATTTTCCTTTCTTTTAATTGGCCGTCGTTGTTATTTTGGTTTCGGTTGTACGACACTCAATAAAAAAGCGCTCTTTTTAATGATCTTTTCTGATTGATTGGAAATTACTGTGTTATTATCGGGTGGTTGTGTCGATTGACAAAACTACAGGTAATACAAAGTGTGTTCAAACGATTTTCGTTTTTGTCTAATAGAGCCCGGCAGAGAATGGTACACCAGTGACTGGATACACTTTAGAATGGATGGAAGATGGGGCGTTCACTGAGGTACCGAAGTAATAATAGTGGCAAGGTTTATTTACTATAAGTAGTTAGGACGGAGCGTAGAGGACGGCAGTGATAAGAGCGCTCGCCTCAATTACTGGACCTGGGGCCCATTTCTTGAAAGTCCTGGGAAACTTAACGGGCACGAAGCCATATATAGTAAAATCAAAGTTATAACATCGGACAAGAAGAGCCACGTCGTGGACTGTCCACTGCTAAATTGCCATGAGATGAAAAAAAAAAAAAAAAAAGAAAATGAGAAGTCTTTGAGTCGACTCGTATGGAGCTGGAATAGTCGTTAAATAATCAATTGACATCGTAGCTCATATAGGGCCGACGGCACATTGTATGACCGATTGGTATCGGAGACTCCCCGACTCTTTCACGAAAGTTCCCCGAATCAGATTCTTCTGAATTGAAGAGTCTACATTACAACACCATGCGCATAAGAATATGGAAATTGTCTTTAACTGATAAATGTAAATTTTGCATCTCGTGATTCGCTCGTGAATCATAGGGGCTTACCTAGAGTAGATTTGTATGTTTTAGTGACACAAGTCAGCCTTAGAGCTGTTTTGAAGTAGTTTTTTTTTCTGTCCAGCTTTACAGTGGCCCAGACAAAACGTGTGAAGTCCGCAAAGGAGTCAGCCCAGCAAGCTTTTATTACTTCAGGGTCAAGGTTTGTTTTTTATAGGGCAATTTTCAATTTAGTGTCGAAAGTAATCAAATGCAAAACTCAAATTAATCACGACTTAGTCGCCGAAGTTTTCTCCAGTTTTCCCGCACTTTAGGCAGTTTGGTTATTTTCACTTTGAGTTCTCATTGGCTCTTAAGTTATTTTCCTTTTTTCTGATTGGTTGTTGTGATTTAGTTGGTTTTGGTGTTACGTCACTCAATGGAAAAGCGCTCTTTTATGCTTCAGTATTAAATTCACCTTTATCTGTTGCATACTGACCAAATGGCTTTTCTCCTCAGGCTCTTAGTGCAGTTGGTCCCAGTCTGTGGAGTCCAGTTAGTACTTGTCAAACCCCGGCCGCCTCACCTTCGGCTGTAACTTCAATAAGAGTGGTAAGTTTGAAAATCAATGCCCTTCTTCTGACGTACATACAATTAGTTCATTCCTTGTTCTCTTTAGTTCCACTTTTGTAGGCATTCAAACTGATAAAAGCACAACAACGCTTCACCTTCGGCTCTTTGATACAACTTGGAATCGACTGCGTTGTGTTTGATTTGATTTCGGTCCGTTCCCCCCGCATCGTTCTTACGTTCACCTTCGGCACTTCTTCGTGCGCCTTTAGTGCAACTTCGGATTGACTGTCTTGTGTGTGATGTGACTTCGGCGCGATCCTTTCGCACCGTTCTTTAGTCTGCGGTGGAAGTGCAGCTTTATCTTATTTGAGCCCTCCACAAGTCTCTGTAGAATTCTACTGATCCCTCCTCATTAGTAGTCAATGTTTTATGCTCCCCACCCTTTTAACTCTGTTGGAGACGACTGATCCCCCTCCATTTCCTCTAAAAACCATACGATCCCCCCCAAAAAGACCTCCCGAACCCCACCTGCCCCCCACTACCCCTCTTCCTCAGGCGATGAATATTGACTCTGGTGTGTACTTTTATTTCTTTCATTAAAAAAAGGGAAATATTTAACTCGAGCAATTTCCCTTTAGGTACAAAATTCTTCATCTCATGTGAGCCTGCGCTGGAGACATCCGGGAAACAATGGCGCCCCTATTACGTCATACAACGTAGAAGTGGCCGGCTTTAAAAACATCAGTTTTGACGTCAGCAATAGCGAAGGGTCTGAAGCCGAGGAAGAAACGACATCTGTTTATCAGGACTATGACATCAATGAACTTCAACCTAACACTGTTTACAGGTAAAGAGAATTAGTTTTTCATCGTTGCCCAAGGGCCTTGATCTTGGATTCCACATCTTTGCTAGGAACAAGCTCACTCAAGCCCAGTTCTTGATTCTTGATTCTTGATTCTTGATTCTTGATTCTTGATTCTTGATTCTTGATTCTTGATTCTTGATTCTTGATTCTTGATTCTTGATTCTTGATTCTTGATTCTTGATTCTTGATTCTTGATTCTTGATTCTTGATTCTTGATTCTTGATTCTTGATTCTTGATTCTTGATTCTTGATTCTTGATTCTTGATTCTTGATTCTTGATTCTTGATTCTTGATTCTTGATTCTTGATTCTTGATTCTTGATTCTTGATTCTTGATTCTTGAAAGGTCGTTTAGCAGTTCAAGGGATAAGTCGTAATTCCTTACCTTACATTGTTAATACGATAGCAAGCAAACAAGTGAGAACAAACATGAACATCAATTAGGAGATTATTGGATTATTTGGATTGCAGACAGTAAGGAGAATTACTTATGAGTTCTTAGTAGTGAAAGGGTTATAAATACTATGCTATCCGTTGGATAGTGATTAAAATCGACCACTTTTAATACTGTGAGTAAGTCGTCTTAAAATAAACGAAGCTGTAACGAATTATTAATAACGTTTGTTCGTTTTTGTTCCAGAATTCGTGTTCAAGCTGTAAACAAAATAGGCTGTGGACCATTTAGGTGAGACAAAGTGATATTGTGTTATTTCTTTGTTGAAGATTTTTTTCGGTGTTTGGGTCTCTGGTAGCAGAAGTCAAAAGTATTTTTCTTTTCATATCTTCCGACACGGGGATGTTAGCTATCAGCCTTTTAGAGCTTATCGGAACTTACAGGAGCCTAGCGGAGTTTTATCGGAGCTTATCGGGGTTTTAGCGGAGCTTATCGGAGTTTTATCGAAGCTTATCGGAGTTTTATCGGAGCTTATTGGGGTTTTATCGGAGCTTAACGGAGTTTTATCAGAGCTTATCGGAGCATGGTCTGACCAGAGGTATTACCACTCACTCTCGCACCCACTCCGTCTCCTAAACGTGATGAACCCTATCATTCTTTCCGTGATTTAGTTTGTAAGACTCATGTAACTGTATCCAGCTCCCAAGTTTTAATTTATTATTATTTACTCATTGCAGCGCCACCTTGTTCGCGTCCACTGGCGACCTCCCCCCTCCCGCTCCGCTGCTAGAACTTGCCACGCCTTCTTACCAGAGTCTAAAGCTGAGGTGGACGTCACGTGGCACTAATGGCAAGACAGGCACGGCTGGTGTGACGTACAAACTTGAAATGTTGGACAAAAACGGAAGGTTAGTTTCCATACAGAATATAGTGAAATTCTCTATGTTGTACTAGACTGACCCGCCATGGCTGCTGGAGTTTGTCGGAGCTTATCGGAATAAATCGGAGTTTATCAGAGTTAACTGGAATTTATCGAAGTTTATCGGAGTTTATCGAAGTTTATCGGAGTTTATCGAAGTTTATCGGAGTTTATCGAAGTTTATCGGAATTGCGTTTTCTTGACACTAGAGGAGACTTAAAAATAGACGTTTTTTGAAACTTCTGGCTTGCCCTGGCATCCAACGATTAAATATTTTAGCATTTTATACTGAAAGTATTTACAGATTTGTAGCAAGCGCCATAGAAAAGAACTCTCAAATTTAAGCCGCTGTCTGCCCTCTAATTCCCAAGATCAAGTTGTTTTTTCCCCTCTCTAGATGCTGCACATTTTCTTTGTAAATTAGTTAGGAGAATTTGGTGTTAGATGAAGGTAATGATTTCTACCCGATAACTTTGAATATTCTCATAACCTGTTTGCTGGATGATGTGTGGATATTATAGGGAGAATCTACATGTTGATCACTTCTAGGAGTTGAGGGGTTAAACTCCTCAACTGCCATCCCCTTCCGAGTTTGATCTGGAGTAAACATACCAAACAGAACGAGAAGACAAAGCGCTTCCCTCTCTACCACATTAACTATTTTTTCTTGTGTACTCTTTGTTCAGCTTCGTTACTGTCTTCAACGGTCCAACGACATCGCACAAGGTTGGCAAATTACTGGAGAGGACCGAGTATCAGTTCCGTATTCAAGCCAGTAATGACGCGGGGCCTGGGTCCTTCTCTGATGTGGTGTCGTTTGTAACGACTGCGCAGCCACCAAATATAGTCAAAGGTAAGTGTGCTAACCATTGGTCCACTAACCCCACTGGCTCAGTGTCGATGTTTTTTTTTTTTTGTATTATGGTTCTTTCGTAAGGTTAAGTCTTAAGAAAAATCATAAGTTAGAACAAAGGACAAATTCCCATACCAAGTGAAATACGCCTGAGAGGTTTTTGACAGAAAAGAAGAATTCTGGGCTACTTGTTGCTCTTACGTCGCGAACTTCATAAGATAATAATAACGACAACGATAATAATTATGAGGATGATGATAATAATGATAATAATGATGATGACAATTTAGGGCTTGTATTACGTAAGTTAACATGAATCTGACCAATTGCGCTTTACATGATAATTCTATCATCCTAATCCTCTAATCCCAGTGCCTGTGTTAAACGTTAAAAACAGTACTACTTCATGAAAATTTTAAAATTTCTGCTTAGATCTAATAAAACCTCATTCTGAAATGCATTTAAAATTGGATTGTAAATGTTACATCAAAATGTGTAGTGAAAAGGCAATTATCGGAGGCGAAATGAAATATGATGACCATGCTCTAGCGCTTGCTGCTTTTTTTTGTATCACTTGGTTGAAAATTCGTATATTGAATCGTCTTTATAGGGTTGAAGGTAGAGAACGTGACACCTTCCTCACTGAATGTCAGCTGGGAGGCTGTGCAAACTGTTAAGAAAGGAGAGCCAATTGAATATTTACTGCAGAGTCAGTGTGTTGGAAAGGACCCCGATTTTGTGCAGGTTAGCTTAAACTTACCACATTGTCGGACGAATGTTTTTTACCTATCAGGCCGACGTTATGAGTGGCGTTAGGTGTTTACTTATTTCTCATTTTCAGGTGTACCAGGGGCCCAATACAAAATTCGAGTACAATTCGCCCCCAGGTTCTGCTGAGGTTCGATTTCGAGTTTGCGCACTACGTTTAATGAATGCTCCGAACCAGTCCCCAGGCTTCATCAAAGGTGTCTTCTCCGCGGTTTCTTCCGCGAGGATTATGACACCGAAGAAGAGGAAGATTTTGGAAAGCAGCGCAGAAAGTGATGATCGCAAACCGGAAATCAAAGAGGCGACCAGGGTAGTTCTAACTGATACGCAATGGGCTATGATTTTCTTCTCGGGGTTTTCGTTGCTGGCGATCATAGTAATCCTTCTGCTGCCTTCTCTTTTGGAGTATCAGATTAGTTAACTACTTTACCTTCAGATTTCTTTTCCGTTCAAAAAAACGTCTCTAAATCATTTTGTAGGGCTTAGGAAAACCAAAGTGACTACTGAAAAGTATTAGTCAGTACCTTTCATTTAAAATGGTCTCTCAGTAAGGTTTCATCGCAGACGTTAAAAAGACCTACGAAGGGTTTTTTTCATCGAAATAAGTAAGACTTGGTCAAAGTGCAGCTTCACACAGCTTTCAGTGAAGTGATTTTAGTTCTATTGGGTCCATGTTGTTTGCTTGGTTCCGGTTTCTCAAAGGATGGATAACGCTATCTGCTGGATATATCTCCATCCTGTGGATGGTGCAGTATGTTTTTGTGGACACTTGTTCACTGGATAGCGATTTATCCGTTGGATAACGTTGTCCGCCCTTAGACAACTGGGCCCTGATGGATATCGGTTAAAAGATGCTATTTGGTTAATTGTGAAAGAAGATTAAACACGGAGGTTGAAGGCAGCGCCTCCAGCAACAGTGATGAACGTCATAGAAAGCGCAATTCTTGTTTACGGGGTAGAACTTTACTGAACTGATTACATATGATGTTTAGGTTTCAATCTCCAAGTTCTTAAAATTACTAAAATTAATTTGATTTTTTTACTGTTGGAAGTAAAGTGGACTTATGTGCGATATTTTTATGTGCTTTTCAGTCTTAAAATTCAACTCGGCTATTAGGCGTATTAAGTTATAGTTATTTTCCGATAGCCAACGTAAGGTGTGCTGAAGGGAAACTAGGTAGCCTCTAGAGGTATTTTAAGTATATCCTAAATCATTTCGATGATAAGAAAATTGAAAACTGGAATTTAAATCATTTATTAGTAAAATACTGGCAAGGCTCTTGTCCGTTCATGTTTCGGGGGATATTCAATGAGAAAACTGTCACGCAAAGTGTCACGCAAAACGTTCTCCTACTGTGGTATAAACTGTACGTAACCAAGAGAGGATATCATGGAAGAATGGTACTGTTTATATGGAGCCTCGAAGATGCCTTTTGACGTAAAAATAGTCTTAATCAATGATATTATCTCCAAGAGCGTTAATGACTAAGTATGTCTTTAAACAATAATTCATGCAGATCTACACTTTCGTATGTATTGATAAATTTCGTGAAGAATTATATGATGGGTTTGCTTTCAACCCGGCCACTTAAGAAAGAAATCCTATATTCAACGTTTATCGTAATTCCTTTGTTTGTTATGAATTTGGATTGGATTTGGAACAAATTAACTCGTTGTCCTTGAAGAGAATGAAATGTGTGGGATTTGTTATGAGAAAAAAGAAAATGAATTTGAGCTTTTTCTCCGGAAACCTGCATCAGTCTTGTAAATGTAATCTTTTTCAGAAAACTTATCGTTGCGATGTATAATGGTATTGTTCCTAGCCTCGTTATCCACATTCTTTTGGCTGTTATTCTTAGAGTGTTCTTAGCCTAACTTAGAATATATGTCACTCTTTGGAATGCCGTGTGGACAGTTTCGGCTGCGAAAATTGAAAGCATTTTTCGGTTGTAGGAGTAGGAAAGAAAGGCAAGTGAAACTGTGGAACCTTTAAGTACCAACCCTCAAAGGTTCTCACCTCACCGAAAAATTTGAGCTCACGAATCTTCAGTCATGTGTGACTTTGATATTATCGACTGATAATTCTGTAGTTAATGTAGGTTAATTAGTTCTTAAATGCGTGACGTATTGCAGTTAGGCTCGCATCTCCGAGAACGAGTCTTTTGAGTGTTTGAAGCATATATAAAGTTTAATTAATGTCGTAATCATCTCTTAATGAGGCGGTCCGCTATTTTGTGAAGTTCTAGCAAGTACCCCTTGATAAAGTCAGCATTATCGGTGCCCACTCTTAAGGACTTTCTCAGTTTAGTCTGTTTCTTGAATGTCTTCAGTGTCTGCTGCTGATTGATAAATGGTAGATGTCTGGATTTTTTTTTTTTTTTGTGAATACCGTAAAGGGAAGGTGAACACATAGAAGAGCGTTTCAATTGAGTGTCGTCAAATAGAAGCCAGAGTAATTACAACGGCCAATTGGAACACAGATAGATATCACGACCAATCAGAAAGGCGGGAAAATGCGAGTGACTAAGTCACGATTGGTTTTAGCTTTGCATCTTATTGGTTGCAAGGGTGACGTAATACAAAGCCAAGCAACCGCGGATTACTCTCGACACTCAATTGAAAATGACGTTATTCACGTATAAAAGTTAGCCAAAGTTTCTCCCACAGATAGATTTAATCATAATTTAGTGTAAAAGGAAATGAAAGATGTTGGTAATTGGAATCGTTGAATGGCTCAACCCACAGAGCGTTAAAGATTATTGAAAATGAAATGCGAAGAAGAGATATATTTATTTTTAGAGATTAAAAACACTGTAAGATAAATAATAGCTAAATTGTACAGAGATTCTCCTCCTATTTATCGTTATATACCTGCACTTTGATCTGTGTCAGTAGTGTTCTACACAAATAAACCGGTTCTGTTGCGATGAAATGAAATGATGTCTTTTGTATTTGTTTGGCAGTTGGATTCGGACCTGTTCTTATCAATCCTATAACCAACCAGGCACGATTACTTGGACCAATTAGGTCTCCTGTTGGAATGGGTAGTACGTTTCTCGAGGAGAACAAAGCGCAATCACTCCCACCCGGTAATGGCGCGAGAGCGTTCGGGAGACACTCGGGTAATACTCGGGGAACCGAGTATTTATGTGAGAAAGTGGAACTAAATTCTCAGGAACAGAGAGTCCAAACACGTCGAATATTTTAACCCTTTCACTCATGAGATCTCAGAAGCGATCCCGTACAATTGTTATGCTGTTAGTTTCTAGAATTTGTTATTGAATCACATAATATCTCCTTGTTGATATATTTTTATTATCCTCAGTACCTGTTAACTTGATGTTGATTCGATCTTGTAAGGAGATATTACTTCTAGGTTTTAGCTGGAAGTGAAAAGGTTTTAAGGAAAGAGTAGTAAAACGAGATCGCTGAGCAACCCATAGGGAGATAAATTTGGTTTGATCAACTGAGTTGATGATGTAAATTGGTCACCGTAAAGAGTTTCTTGAGCTGACGTTTCAAGCGTAAGCCCTTCGTCAGAGCGCAGGACTGCGCGGTGTTCCGTCGACAAGCCGCAGATCACATTAAAAGAAAGTTGCTAGTAAAGATTAAGTTTATATCGCGTGCACACTGCCGAAGCTCAATTTCTAAAGCTGGGTTTGCTAGGCCTATCCAAATTCAGTTCGACAACAAACCTTTCTCAAATTAATTTCAAGGCGTGAAATGGAATGAGATCCAAGACTTGCAAAAATTACCAAAAAATTTTTTTATGAACGACCATCTTGCACTAAACCCGCCCCTCATTCCTTTTATCCTTTTTATTTAGGCTAATTAGATTGCCAACGCGAGCAATAAGGAGTGAATATGATAGCGAAATTCAGGCCTTTTCGGGATTTCAACCCATGATCTCTGCGATATCGGTGCAGTGCTCTACCAACTGAGCTAACAAGTCAATTGGGAGCTGGATATTATGTTGGTTCGTATTAAACCCGTGAAGTGATGAATCGATGACTGTTAATATATGAAAATCATATATGAACACTACTTAAACAGTGGTGGAAACAAGGCCTGGAAAAATTCAGGTCTTCGCCAGGCCTTCAGTAGTGTTCATTACTGCGAAGATCACCATCATATTCATTTCTTAAAGCGCAATTCACATGTTTGATTTTGATTTATCCACAGTCAGCGGGCCATAAGATCAGCAAACCGTGACAACGTAGTTTAATCTGGGTAAGACACTGTTTTATTCCTCGTTCTCGCTCATGCACAGGTTCATTTACTGCACTAGTATTCTACAAGAAATCATAGGAAGGAATGCTTAGCGTTCGCATTCTGCCGTTGTCGTCACTCAGCCGCCATTCGCTCTGTGGCAAGGATTGGACTAAAGACTCTGTAAGCAAAATAACCAAGAAAGTTCTCTTTAATAGACACATGATATGTCAGATTATATGAGAGTCATCCCCCTCTTCCCACCCCATAATTGACCATTGATAGAACCTTGCCACATGACCACATCAATAGAGAAAAAAGTCATAGTGCCCAAGGTCGTTCAATATCCTAATTTAAGGTTACTAACGTGCATCATCTTAAGGAAGTATGAAACCTTTTTTTAACACTTAAAAAAATTTGTAATGCTAACGCTACCGGGAAGACTCTTATTTGCCAAGTCTGCTGACTTTTTCCTTCCGTTTTTTTTTCTAAAACTGTCGTCAGCATATTCTATAACAGTGAAATCTTGCACATTATCGTTGGTGTCTATGGTGGCGTCAAGATGGAAAAAATACTAGGAATAGTAATCAGAATACTAATTTGTCATGTCTTTTCTACTTTGGTATTTATCTCGTAAACACAGCTACTGTGAAATGGTTTTGCAAAGGCCCCATCAATCTAGCTCATAGCTCTAGCTAATAGCTCGTTTAGTCGTCGCGTAAAGCGTATTTTTTCGCGTAGGGCCGTGAAATTTGTCGACGGATTTAAACCGACCAATCACGACCGATTTATGCTACTTGAGATCAACAACCAATAACATCACAGTAAAACTGACCAATCACTCAACACGAACCAGAATTGTAACACGGGAATGACCACCAACTCTTCGCTTAGGATAACTTCCACTGAGGTCGTCAAAATGTCATTCACTATTAGCTACCGATAACAGTCTTTCTCAGGACTTCTACCCCGAACGGTTAGATTTCAAGAGCAGCCCTCTCATTAAGCTTACCTCATCATCATCATCATCATCGATAAATTCATACACAAAATTGGTCCGCAATCCGCCCACACCATTCCAACAGTTTGGAGAAGTACCGTACTCGCTATAACTCTTTTCTGCATTTACTCCTGTCCAACATTCTCCGTAGAACTGTAATGCAAACACCTGACAATAGAAATAGTTGAGTCAAAACTCGATTGTAAAGTTTTCACTGGGTTTCCCGAACCGCGAAAGTATTTCATTGATATTTTTTTCAATATACTGCTCTGTGAGAAAATTCGTTGCACCTTCAAATGAAAATAATTGAGTCAAAACTCCATCGAAAACTGTTACTTTCCTAGATTAATTCGATATCTTTTACTGAGCTATACTGTTTCAGGCTAAGCGTTCAGTCAATAAAATGAAATCGAAATAAAAAATGGTGCGATAGTAGCGGAGGAGTGAAAAAGCGAAAGAGGTGTGGAACGGGTCGGGTCCTAAAACCTCCCGCGTTTTTTTATTCTTCCTCTACGTGTAGCGCCGTTGAATATCGTGCTTTGTTTAACTAATTAGACTCTTAGGACAGGTTATTACTGAACTGGGTCTTATCATAGTGGTAGATTATTGTTAATTTCTACAATTTCCTACTCGGATGCCAGGGAAAATTTAACAGTTGGTCTTTGTTGAAAAGCATGAAGGAAGGCATCTTGAGTAGACCCTTTATTCCAAATTATGCTCCAACTTATGGTCGCCTTGGAAGATTTTGGTACTTTTTCTTAAAACATGCAAACAAGTCCCAATTATATATTTATTGTTAAAAAAGCATAGCATCTTTTCATTTTGAGTTTCATCCTTTCTCAGATAAAACATAAATAAATACTGCGCTTAATTACAGACTGGAGGCGGAGACTTCTCGTGGCAAAATTTACGATGTTAGTATAACGTTTCTCTTTGACGCCATAGAACGAACAGAACTGGGACCAACGCAATCTTTACTTCTGGTGTGCTAAGTCTTCTAAACGTCGAACGACTTACTATTGCGGTAACCATCTTCCCGAAGACGTTGCAAATTTGAAAATAGACTGAACTATGGATTGAACTGAAAAAAATAAATCTTATAGACCAAAAACATCATGACTCTGGTAATAATTCCTTCAAAACACTACAAATATGCTGATCATTCCGTCGATTTTCCAAATTATGCCAAAGTATGTTTGCACAATCTTTAAGGGCCTAACCTTGAGTGTAGAGTTCGTTTTCGTTACTCTGTGGGCGCATTCTTTGACAGTGTTTTCTATGTGACGCCAATCAATTTTTCCACGCATATTTGTCACTAAATCTGGAACAGCGCGTAATTTCTTTGCGTCCTTGAAGCATCCCAAGGCTATGAACCGTTTGCCATCCGGGCTAAGAATGGATCCTGTATCGTAACAAGATATGATAAATGATTATCAATTGTAAACTGGTTTTACTTACTACTCCGCCCCTGAGCAAAGTTTTAGGGTGGAATGAGCAGGCATAACTATGCTGTCGATGCCTTAGTGGGCAGTCTGTGTTGGGTGGTCTTGAAAAGTTTGTTACGTGTTGACTGAGGATCCAACCGCACCAAAGTGTGGCACATATCATAAATGTGTTTACATATCTACTTACCTGGGCATTCAATATCGGTGTTGCATTTTTCCTCTGTGGTGGGTTTCACGGCGTGGCTGCACTGATAGTCTGACACAGTTACCAGCATTCCATGCGCGTTCAGTTTCATGCACTTGAGACTGCGAGTCATTGTACCTCCTCCACATGACCGGGTGCACTGAGAACGATACAGAGTGAAAAATTTTGTATGCCATATTTTGGTTCGTTAGTTGCTGTTTTTCTTTGGCTGCTTGCAGAAACCGATGGGAAATTCGCTTTTGAGGAAGTTTCCGTTAAAACAACGCAGCATTAGTGGATAATTCTTTTAAACTAATTTGCGATCTCAGCTTAATCTTATCCTTGGAAGTGTAGTTAATGAAAATTTCGAACGGCGATATACTTCAAGATTATCACGGCTGACCTCCTTCTGTGTTTACCTCACTCCATGCTAAATGTTTCCATTCAGCCGGACAAGCGATCATGTTGCATTCCTGCTGTAGGTTTCCGACTGGTTTCTGCTCAGTACACGAGGATTCTTCAACAGTCTCATAATGTTCCTGACTTTTCTTTCGCCTGCAGACGATTGTTCTTAGCTGAATCCCCTTACCACAGGTTTTTGAACATGGCCGCCAACCTGACAGGTACCATCTACGAAATGAAAATCAGGAAAGAAAAAATTTCAATCGATCGTGAAAAGCAGTTCTCGGATTCCAATGATGTTGATTTACTGAGGCGAAGGGACTCGTTTTTCACGACATTTGATTTTTAAACAGGTTTATCTGAAGTTTTTCCGCGTTTAAAAGTTTGTGTCATTGCTTTCATACTCACTCCGGCTGACACGGTTGTGTATTGCAAGCCTGCTGCATCGCTGGTTTGCCTCCAGACTTGAGGCAGACCTTGTCATTGACGTAACTGCCGTCATCTTTACGGACGCATTCAACAAGTCTTGTCCGGTATCCTGTTAATAAAACACAATTAACCTTGTTCTGCCTGTTCATCTTATCATCTTTGTCACGGAGATCAATAATTCTTTTGATTTCCTAGTTACCTTCATCTTCTTTATCAAAGGGAAGTCTTATTCATGACTTTTAATTGGGAAATTACTTTAAAGTAAAAT